TGCCTTTGTCTTTTGTTGCCTTTGCATTGTTGCCTTTGCTTTGTTGCCTTTGCATTGTTGCCTCTGCTCCATTTTCAATGTCTTTTCCCCAACTTCATTCAAATGCTTTCAAATTGTCACATGGCTAACAAAAAATTCTGCTAATTCTCGTAAATGTGAGATGAATTTTGATAGCATTGAGGAAATCGTGATTTGAGATTTCTAGAGATTGAGATTTGAGATTCCCTTCTGTCCATCAGTCCCTAGAAGGTGGAGGCTTTCCGTCTCAAAAACACTGACAATCATCGACGACACTGACACTATTAGCTTGTAGCTTGAAAAGATGACACAATCATCTCCAAAAGCTTTGACAAGTGAACGATAAGATTCAGCAGGGGTTTTTCCTTTTTTGAGCATAGAGCATAGCAGAGCATAGCAGCTCGAGCTTGTAAAAGCCAGTAAAGTGCTGTAAAAGCCAGTAAAGTGCTGTAAAAGCCAGTAAAGTGCTGTAAAAGTCAGCAAAGTGAAGAAGGAAATGATTGAGATGATGAATGAAATGAAAGTCAGTATCGTCAAGGGCAATGATTAGAAATCTAGTGAGTTTTTTGTTTATTTTTGTTCAAAACATTATGTAAGCAAAGGTTTGGCATATTGCCAGCATTGTTTTCTTCACAAAGTTCTTCACAAAGTTCTTCACAAAGTTCTTCACAAAGTTCTTCACAAAGTTCTAGCAAAGTTCTCAAAGTTCTAGCAAAGTTCCGGACTGGATTTGGATCTGTTTTCGATAGAATTCGACCTCGTTTTTGCTCACAAAGCTCTTGAGAACAAAGTACAAAGCACTAAATTTAAAATTTCGGGGTAAACCTAGTCCCGGAATGTTTGGCCGGAACGTTTGACCGGAAATTGGCAAGCTTTTAGGTTTTCTGTGAGATTCTCGTTTCCCAATTGCCTGAGAGAGATCAGAGTATTTCGTGAGTATCAGAGTATGCCTGAGGGATTTCCTCTTTACATTCCGGATCTCCAATCTCATTTCATATTCTACACCCAGCTTTACGACCTTTACGAGCTTTTACCAGCTTTAGCAGCTTTACCAGGTTTACCAGCTTTACCAGCTTTACCAGCTCTACCAGCTCTACCAGCTTTCTACCAGCTCTACCAGCTCTATCAGCTCTACCAGCTCTACCAGCTCTACCAGCTCTACCAGCTCTATCAGCTCTACCAGCTCTACCAGCTCTACCAGCTCTACTAGCTCTACCAGCTCTACCAGCTCTACCAGGCGCTTACCATCTTTACCAGCTTCTACATTCCTACCTCTAGAGGCTAAGCAGTCTATTGGAGTTTCTAAAGGCTTTTTTTGAGTAATGTTTGGGATTACTTTGCTTTAAAATGTCTCTTTTCTTTTTCTTTTCTTTTCTCCCTTTTCTTTTCTTTCTTTTCTTTATAGACACTTTCTTATGAAGCCAGAGCCCAATCTGGGCAAGTAAGCAAGGAATTCGAACGATTCATAAACTTTAAAACCTTTTCATCATCAAATTTCATTTGTATCCATTTTACAACCTTCTCATCATCATTTCTATCCAATTTTCCAGCTTCTTCATCATTCAATTTAACTTGTTTCCAATTTTCCAGCCTCTTCACCATTCAATTTAACTTGTATCCAATTTTCCAGCTTCTTCATCATCCAATTTTCCAGCCTCTTCATCATTCAATTCCATTCATTTCCCATTGATATATACAATTCATCGTCAAATCCATGAACAAACTCGATCTTTTTGTGTTTTGTAAGCCAGAAGCTAAGCCAAAAGCTAAGCCAGAAAAAAGGAAAAAAAAAAAAAAAAAGCTAAGCCAGAAGCTAAGCCAGAAGCTGTTTTGTAAGCCCAAAACAAGGTCAAACTAAAGCAATTGAAAACTCTTCTCTGAAGCCTTTTTCTAAATTTTGAATAGATTTTATGAAGGGTGAGATAAATCGAAGAGGAACCAAAAAAAACAACAATGAAAAAGATTCAAGAGATGTGAAGAAAAGAATGGAAAAGAGGTTGTCACTCTTTTCGAATATCGAACAATTCTCAAGGGATTGGAGAAAGGAAAAGAAGGGAAGGAAAAGAAGAGAAGGGGAGACGTTCGAATGGACACGCCAAGAGTCACACTCCAATCTTTCAGCTTTTCTTTTTCCTTCCTGCTATTATTATAAGTTATAGATGTTTAAGTTATTCTTTTTCTTCTGCTCAAAGAAAAGCAGATGGTAGATGCCTTGAAAACTTGATTTAATAAAGTTTTCCTTTACTAGAGGAAACCTTTGCTTGGCACTAGCAGAAGCAGAAGCAACTTGGCACTATCCCAAGCAGAAGCAACTTGGCATTGTCACAAGCAGAAGCAACTTGGCACTATCCCAAGCAGAAGCAACTTGGCACTGTCAACAAGCATTCAAAACTTGCAATCACAGTTACAATAAACGGAATGTCGTCTAGTAACTGAGTTTCTCATTCATCGACTTCGGATTTCAATTTGAATTGAATTTGACTGTGCTGTGGTTTGCAGACTTGTAGAGCTTTGCAGACTTGTAGAGCTACAGAACTAGACTAGATCAGATCACTGATCACTGACTGATCACTGACTGACTAGGAATCTCGTAAATCCTCTCAAAAACTTGTGATCCACTACCAGATTCTTTGATTCTTTGTTAGACGTCACCAATTTATTTTCCCGTGATCTCCATTCGCGAATTCGTCGTCCATTTGAGCTTTAGCAGCTTTATGAGCTTTAGCAGCTTATGCAGCTTTAGCAGCTTATTTTTTCGATAGAGCTCTAAGTGCGGCACTTTTTAGAGAGCGGTGCTTATTGTTTCGAATGTACAAGAAAATAATCTGGAACAAGTATGAAAACCAGAATTTCAGGATATGTTGACTGGTTGACTAGGACTAGTTTGGAGTTGGGGGATGGGCTGGGACAGGCCAGGCCATAGTCTGGTTGACTAGGACTAGTTTGGAGTTGGGGGATGAGCCAGGAGAGTCAGGCTAGGCCAGGACAAGCAAGTCCAGGTCAGGCCAGGTCAAATCCAGATCAGTGACCTATTCAGCACGAAAAGTTGTACATTTTCCCCATTCAAACTAAGCTCTAAGTCTAATTAAATTTGAACTACCGGAAGTGTTTTGCTGCCGGATGCGGAAAAAATGCTTTTTAAACCCTGGCCACTAGTTTGGCCACTAGTTTGGCCACTAGTTTGGCCACTAGTTTGGCCACTAGTTTGGCCACTAGTTTGGCCACTGTCCTTAACCCTGAGTCTTCTCTAAAGTGACACACGAATATCAAAAATTGTGGTTTAACTGGAACTCTGGAATTTCAATCCGGTTACTCTGGAATTTGAATTCAAAACTTTCGCTTTCTCAATTTTCAATTTTACCTTGCTTGTTGAACTTGTTGAAGTTGTTGAAGTTGTTGAACTGGTTTTAAACTTGTTGAACTTGTAGAACTTGTTTTAGACTTGTTGAACTTGTTTTAAACTTGTTGAACTTGTTGAACTGGTTTTAAACTTGTTGAACCTATTTTTAAACTTGTTGAATTTGCTTTAAACTGGTTTTAAACTGGTTTTAAACTTGTCGAACTTGTTTTAAACTTGTTAAACTTGTTTTTAAACTTGTTGAACTTGTTGTTAAACTTGTTTTTCAACTTGTTTACTTGTTGAACTGGTTTTAAACTTGTTTTAAACTTGTTGAACTTGTTTTAAACTTGTTAAAGTTGTTTTAAACTTGTTAAACTTGTTTTTAAACTTGTTGAACTGGTTTTAAACTTGTTGAACTTGTTTTAAACTTGTTGAACTTGTTGAACTGGTTTTAAACTTGTTCTAAACTTGTTGAACTTGTTTTTAACTTGTTGAACTTGTGTTAAACTTGTTTTAAACTTGTTTTTCAACTTGTTTACTTGTTTTAAATTCTCTGGACTTTCAATGGATTTCTTAATGTTCTCCTACAAAATTTCTCTCCACAAATTTGACTTTTTTATTTGAAATTTTTCAATTTCAGAAGCGTTTCCACTTTTCCGAGTGTGCCGGGGGAAAAGATAGCTTATTCGATAACGAAAGTCGATCATCTGTTCTTGTCAATCTGGATGTCCCACTCACCGGGTGCTTCCAATCGCCCTCCGCCTCATCACGGATAATCTCGTTCGTTTATTTGAATTCATTTCTAAATGATTTCAAATCTATTTCAAATCTATCAATTCATCAATTCAATTTCATCAATTCATTTGAATTCATTTTTTTATTTAAATGAAATGATTTAAACTTAAATCCATTTGGTTCCAATTAGCTAAGAAAGCTTTAAAGGAACTAAATAGGAACTATGACGGAGCTTTAAAGGAGCTTTAAAGGAGCTCTGAAGGAGCTTTAAAGGAGCTCTGAAGGAGCTTTAAAGGAGCTCTGAAGGAGCTTTAAAGGAGCTCTGAAGGAGCTTTAAAGGAGCTCTGAAGGAGCTTTAAAGGAGCTCTGAAGGAGCTTTAAAGGAGCTCTGAAGGAGCTTTAAAGGAGCTCTGAAGGAGCTTTAAAGGAGCTCTGAAGGAGCTTTAAAGGAGCTCTGAAGGAGCTCTGAAGGAGCTTTAAAGGAGCTCTGAAGGAGCTTTAAAGGAGCTCTGAAGGAGCTTTAAAGGAGCTCTGAAGGAGCTTTAAAGGAGCTCTGAAGGAGCTTTAAAGGAGCTCTGAAGGAGCTTTAAAGGAGCTTTAAAGGAGCTTTAAAGGAGCTTTAAAGGAGCTTTAAAGGAGCTCTGAAGGAGCTTTAAAGGAACTAAATAGGAACCATAAAACCAAAATAGGAACTTGGTTCCAATTAGCTAAGAAAGTTCGAATCTTTTTGCAAAACGAGAAACAAGCTCAGTTAATATACTAATCATCGAGCATTTTGGGATTTTGGGATTTAGATGAAAATCCCATATTGAATGTGGAAATCCCACATAATCCCATAATCAAAAGGGATCGAATCACATTCGTAAACGGTTTTTCAGGGAGTGGCCCCGTGGATGCGTCTTCTGGGATGCACGGCGGCGCGCTGAGCTCCGTCTCCAATCGGTTCCCACTCAAGGTTTGACAAATGAAATACAGTTTAGTAATAGGTTTAGAATTACAATTACAGCAGAATGACAGATTAGTAGTAATTAGTAGATTAGTAGTAGTAAGATGGAAGATTTGATGCCCTTTCCCATCGGCTCAACTTTGAGCTCAAATATCTCGGCTTTGGGTTGTTCAATTTAAATATTCTTGGTATCATTAGATGCGCCGAGTCTTTCTCTATCGATTGGTATAAAAAGTATTTAAATTGAATAACCCAACGCCGAGATATTTGAGCTTAAAGTTGAGTGAATGGAAAAGAAGCGGGGCTCTTCTGTCCCACCTTTTATACGCGCCCCCTTTGCCATTAGCTCAACTTTGCGCTTAAATATCTTTGCTTTGGACTATTAAATTGAATACTAATCGATTCTCTACTTTTTAGCCATTTCTAGGATCGATTTTTGGATTTTGGGACATTTGATACGTGGTCCACCCCTTTGCCATTGGCAATCTACCTTTAAGCTCAAATATCTTGGCTTTGGGATGTTCGATTGAAATACTTTTTCTACCAATCGATAGAGAAAGACTTGGCGAATCTAATGATACTAAAACTATTTAAATTGAATAATCCAACGTCGAGATACTTGAGCTCAAAGTTGAGTCAATGGCAAAAGCGGTGGGGCGCGTGTAAAAGGTGGGACATCCGCGCAGTGGGACATCCACTAGTGGAGCAACTAGTGCACTAGAAGCTGCATATTTTCTGATATTTCTAGGATTTTCTAATGTTTTCTAGTGTTTTCTAATCCTTTCTAATGTTTTCTAATGAATGCTTCTGTTTCTAAGCCATCATTTCTTCAGCGCGCCTCCTCCTCTCTGTGTGTGCTCCTTTTCCTTCAATTTTGGGCTGTGATCTCCGCCAATCAACACGCGAATCGCTTATTTGAGGATCTTCTCGCCGATTACAACAAATTGGGTGAGTTAATTTGAGTTTAGTGCGATTTAATGCGCTTTTAAGTGATTTAAGGGCGACTTTTAAATCTCTCCAATTTCAATTGGAGAGATTTTCGACTTCTAAAGTCTGCTGTTTCTCAAAATCTCTCCAATTTCCAGTTCGTCCCGTCGAGAACAACACGGCTAGTGTGACGGTTCGCTTCAAGTTGAAACTCTCACAACTCCTTGACGTGGTTCGTTTCTATCATTCTTTCGGATGCACTTTCTAGTGCACTAGATTCTTTGTGAACAAATCCTTTCTAGTGCACTAGGTTCTCTGTAAACAAACCCTTTCTAGTGCACTAGATTCCTTGTAAACAAACCCTTTCTAGTGCACTAGGTTCTCTGTAAACAAACCCTTTCTAGCACACTAGGTTCTTTGTAAACAAATCCTTTCTAGTGCACTAGGTTCCTTGTAAACAAACCCTTTCTAGTGCACTAGGTTCTCTGTAAACAAACCCTTTCTAGTGCACTAGATTCCTTGTAAACAAACCCTTTCTAGTGCACTAGATTCCTTGTAAACAAACCCTTTCTAGTGCACTAGGTTCTTTGTAAACAAACCCTCCCTTTCTAGTGCACTAGATTCTTTATTTTCCTCAAGACAATAAGTCGTAGCAAGTTAAATGCTCAAAATATTGAGTAAATGCTCAAAATATTAAGCAAATGCTTAAAATATTGAGTAAATTAAATCTCAATATGCCCAGGCACCAAGAGAGGAGTCAAGAGGGCCAATTTGTAAGATAAGAGGAAAGCTTTAAGGAAAAGATGATGATCATCTCTTTTCCATCTCTTTTTCATCTCTTTTCCTACTCAAAAATGAGGCGAATTGACAGAAATTTGTGGTGGAGATGAAAATGGGGAAAAGAAAGAGCTGTCGAAAGGCTGTCGATAAGGTTGATTGACACCTCAAAGCCTCATGTGGTGTGTCCTCTGTATCATTGAGAGTTTGGATAGGATTAGGGAATGGGATCGATGTAGAAATGTTATGCAAAATTACGATTACAAAATGCGGCATTTATAGTGTTTCGCTTTAAAAAAAAGAATCATTAGAATCATTTTTACTTCAATCAAATCAATTCAAGAGTTGCTCAAAGTCTGCCCATCTTTGTTAGCCAAGATAAGCTCGCCTTTGCAATAATAGAGCTCAAAAAGCACTCATTTTCTAGTCATTAACTCTAAAAACGGATTAATCTTAAAAAAAGACAAAAAAAGACGAAAAAAGACGATTTTTGAGGATTGTTTGATGTTTGATACGCGCCCCGCTCCCTTTGCCATTGACTCAACTTTGAGCTCAAGTATCTCGACGTTGGATTATTCAATTTAAATATTCTTGGTATCATTAGATTCGCCAAGTCTTTCTCTATCGATTGGGATAAAAAGTATTTAAATTGAATTATCCTACGTCGAGATACTTGAGCTCAAAGTTGAGTCAATGGCAAAGGGAGCGGGACGACGGACCTTTCATACAAGCAATATATCTTGGCTTTGGGTTGTTCAGTTTACATACTTTTTAGACCAATCGATAGAGAAAGACTTGGCAAATCTAATGATCTAAAAAACATTTAAATTGGACAATCCAAGGCCAAGATATTTGAGCTCAAAGTTAGATTGCAAAGCCTGGATCTGGCTTTTTTGATCTAATTTGGTCTAGACTTTCTCTATCGATTAGTACAAAAACTATTTCAATTTAACAGCCCAATAAGCACAATAAGCAAGGCCTAGGCCTAGCTTATTGTCTTTGAATTTCATGATTTTTCGAATACCTATGGCTCCTATAAAGAAAAAAAGAAGAACGGCGCTTATGAAAAGAAATTTTTCATTTTCAGCACGAGAAGAATCAGATCATGACGACGAATGTCTGGCTACAACATGTGAGTCTTTTAGCAATATTATTTCGATTCAAGAGCTATGGTTTTATTCAATTACAGGACTTTATTCAATTACAGGCTCTATTTCATTTGATTTTATTGTCAGTTAGCAGTTATTAGTTGATCTTTTATGAGCTCCGGTTCAATTCGGTCGAATGATTGGATGAATGAGTCCTGAGAAAGCCAACAAATCAACCAATCAATCAACAAACCAACAAACAAACAAGCCAACCAACGAAGCCAATAAACCAACAAACCAACAAATCAACAAACCAACGAAGCCAACAAACCAACAAACCAACAAATCAACGAAGGCAACCAATCAATCAACCAACCAACCAATCAACCAACGAAGCCAACGAAGCCAACGAAGCCAACGAAGCCAACGAAGCCAACCAACCAACCAACCAACAAGCCAACAAACCAACAAACCAACCAACAAACCAATCAACCAACCAACGAAGCCAACGAAGCCAACGAAGCCAACCAACCAACCAACCAACCAACGAAGCCAACGAAGCCAACCAACCAACCAACCAACCAACGAAGCCAACGAAGCCAACGAAGCCAACGAAGCCAACCAATCAACCAACCAACAAACCAACCAACAAACCAACCAATCAACAAACAAACAAGCCAACCAACGAAGCCAATAAACCAACAAGCCAACAAACCAACAAACCAACGAAGGCAACCAATCAATCAACCAACCAACCAATCAACCAACGAAGCCAACCAATCAACCAACCAACGAAGCCAACGAAGCCAACGAAGCCAACGAAGCCAACCAACCAACCAACCAACAAACCAACCAATCAACAAACAAACAAGCCAACCAACGAAGCCAATAAACCAACAAACCAACCAACAAACCAATCAACAAACCAACAAACCAACAAAACTCTCAAATAGAAACCTAAGTTCCATGCACTTTTTTAAGGCCAATTCGGCTGACAACTTTACAATCAGGGTTTTCGAGGGTGAGCAATTCGAATCTGTTATTAGTTTTTAAAGAAAATTGCTCGATTTTTTTGATATTTCATTCGATTTAAATACCCAAGCGCAGTCACAAATCCAATCCATTTGTTCTGTAATTGATAAATTGTTTTGTAGTTGATAGAATCGTTTTCATTTTGTCATTTGAAAATCAAATTCCAGAGTTGGGAAGACTACAAGTTGCGCTGGGATCCAATCGACTATGGCGGCGTTCAAGTGCTCTATGTGCCACCGGATATGATTTGGCTGCCCGATATCGTCTTGTATAACAAGTAAAGTAGTTTTACAGTAGTTTGACAGTACTCTTACAGTACTTTATTCCTTTTGTGTGTTTTGTTTCTTTTTTTGGCACCTTTTTTAGTGTTTTGGCAGTACTCTTACTATACCATATAGTACTTTTTGCAGCCAACCCTTTTACAGCCATTTTACAGCCCTTTTACAGTACTTTGCCAGTACTTTGACAGTACTTTTACAGTACTTTTTGCAGTCAGTCCTTTCACAACCCTTTCACAGCCATTTTACAGCCATTTTACAGCCCTTTCACAGCCATTTTACAGCCATTTTACAGTACTAAGCAATTGCTTACACTTTTCAAATCACCTATTCTATTCTCCACAAATCAACTATTCTTTTTTCTTCAGTGCTGATGGGAACTATCAAGTTCAAATCATGACCAAAGCAAAGCTCAACTATAATGGCACCGTTGAATGGGCACCACCGGCTATTTATAAAAGGTAGGAAAGAATTTTGCGTAAAGAATTTTGCGTAAAGATTTCAAAGCATTTCTCTATATTCTTGTCTAGTTTCACTAGTTTCACTAGACAAGAATATAGAGAAATGCTCGATCAATGATCAATGATCAATGAGCAATCAATTCTAGCATGTGCCCGATCAATGTCGAGTTTTTCCCGTTCGACGATCAAACGTGCGAGATGAAATTTGGTGATTCAATGATTTCAATTCAATGATTTCAATGCAGCTTTTTCTTTTGAACTTTCGATTGTACTTTGTAATCGAAACGTACCCTTCGAAACGTACGCTTCGAAACGTACCCTTTCTAGTGCACTTGATAGGCTTTAAAGCCTTGGGATTGTTTGAGCTAAAAAGCTTGAGAAGCTAAAAAATTCGATTGTAGAACTCTCACAAACAATTTTATGGGCAAAATTCTGGAATTTAACTGGCTCTGATCAGCTTGATTTAGCCAAGATTAGCTTAGCTTGACTTAGCTAGAAATTTGAGTCTTGTAAAACTGCTAACTCTTGAGTCTAATAGTGAAATCTTTGCTTCAGTCAAGTTCTGATTTCAGCGTTTTCCTGTACCTTGAACAACTAGCTTTTATATAAACTTAAACTTAAAATAAATCAAAAAAAAAAACTTAAAGTCATTTCCAGGTTCTTGGACATACGGTGGTTTGGAGGTGGATCTTCAACATCGAGACGCGAATGTCACCGATGTGCCCGTGAATGCGACGAATGGAGAGATCGAGATCGAGAAAGTCGTCTATGATGGTAGATTATCTATGATTTTAATCCGTTTCTATTTGGCTATGATGGTCTATGATGGTAGATTTTGATTCGTTGATCAAAGTCTAATGGATTAGGTTGATGCATAAGTGTTTTTGTTCCTTTTCGTCTGCCGTTTCAAGCCAACAAATGCACGAATTAAACTACGGTTGATTTCATTAGAAAAAGCAATTATTTTTCTGCAAAATAACATTAAAACGGGTTTAAAAATATTTAATGCCTGAATTTTCTTGAGAGTATGAAGTCGGGTAGTCAAAAAGGGCTAACTCGATGATGCGGTTTAAGGGCTCAGGCTCAGGGCCCAGGCTAAGCCCCTGCCTAAGCCTGAGCCTGAGCCTGAGCGGTTTAGACACCTTAGCTAAAGAAAACCTATCTTCGTGTCAATAGATAAAAGATAGAGAAAAAAAAAGTTTGATATTTCGCCAAAATTTCAGAGAAATTCATTCAGCCAATTTTTCCGTAGAGTTTTTTATAGATTTTTACGAAAAAGGCGTTTTTCACTCCTATCTAGTTCCTATTTGGTCACTGTATAGTTCCTATTTAGTTCTGTATTTAGTATTTAGTATTTAGTTATGAAACAAATCAAACAATTCCAAGATTATTACAAAGATTCTTGTACAATTGTTGCAAAGATTCTTGTACAATTGTTGCAAAGATTCTTGTACAATTGTTGCAAAGATTCTTGTACAATTGTTGCAAAGATTCTTGTACAATTGTTACAAAGATTATTGCAAAGGATTGTAAAAGAGTCGAGCCTCTTACCTGCCCGGGATCGAACCCGATCGCTCATCGATCCTCTCGATTAGAAGCCAAGACTCTTAACCAGCTATGACGCTATGGCAGCATGGTTCAGATCAGCTATGACGCCCATGACAGCATGAAATTGCTTCGAATTTGCTTGAAAGTGAACCGAAATTCATTTAAAAAGATGCAAATTGAACAAAAAAACACTTTTTTTATAGAGCAAACTATAGATTAATTGGTGAATTTCTTACTTTTTAACAGAAGTACGAAAAAAACGAAAAGACTTATGCATCAACCTATTAGTTTGGTTAATGTAGTTTGGTAAGAAAAGGTAGATGTCTGAAAAGGGATTGAACCCTCAACCTTTCGCTTACCAGGCTCCAGGCTTTAATTGCTTTCCATTGCTCTAACCACTGAGCTATTTGATGGCTTAACTTGCCAAGAGAAAGAGGGAAAGAGGAGAGGAAGAAGAAAGAAAGAAGGAGGGAAGGAAGAAGAAGGAAGAAGGAGGAAGAAGGAGGAAGAAGGAAGAAGGAGGGAAGAAGGAGGGAAGAAGGAAGGAAGAAGGAAGGAAATAACTTCACTTTCAGGAATCGATCTCACTGATTACTACCCGAGTGTTGAATGGGATATCATGGGAGTGCCGGGGACGAGACACGAGAAAAGGTTGGCTAAAAAATGACACTCATTTTATTGATTGAATATTTTCAAGAAATCTTTCAAGAAAAAGACTTTCGTCTAGGAAAAGAAAAGAAAACGAAAATAATTTACCTATCTTTTTCCCGACCGTTCCTTTTCGCGTTTTTCCTTTTGGCAATTTTTTTAGCAGCTTTCCGCATTCGGAAAGGTAACTGCTATCTATCAGCGGCGTGTGCCAGATGGAGAGTGATTACGCGGCCGCACAAAGCGCGCAAAGAACACCTCGCTATTTCCATCTCTTGCTTTGTTGATAGCTTAAATTGTAGATTAAAAAGAAGATATTGCTGAATGCCTAGTTTGAATTGATACAAAAGAAGTCAAAAGATTTATAAGATATAAGATTTATGTACAGATATATACAGTACTGGACAATGAAATATGATATTTGAAAAACGATCGTCACTTTCGCGCGTCTGTAACTCCGTTGTCTTTGTGTTTAAACTCTTAGTGTTATACATTTTCTGAAAGCTCTTTTCAAGGGCTACACAATGGTCAATGTTAATATTTAGAAATACGGTAAAGACAAGGGAGTTACAGACGTGCAAAAGTGACGATCGTTTTTCAAATATCATATTTCATTGTCCAGTAGTGAGTGACGATAAGAGATTGACAATAAGAGAGTTAAGTAGAGAATTGTTTGATGAAAATCGAGGACTATAAGTTGAAAGGGAAGAGTTGAAAGGGTTAGGGTTGAGTCAAAGTCAAAGGGTGAGTCAAAAGACCAGCTCCTTCTCTCTCTCTTTCAAGTTTAAGTTCTAAATTGTTAGAAAGATAAAAGTTTACAATCAAAATTTACAATCAAATCAAATTCCACAAATGATACAATAGATAAAATGAATCTGACAGATGATAGGGCCATTTTTAGCCACTAAATCCTCACAAAATCCTCACAAAATCCTTTAGATATCCTTGCTGCGAAAGTCCATTCATCGATATCACTTATGAGATCAAATTGAAAAGGAAAACCCTTTTCTACACGGTGAATCTAATGATCCCGTCTGTTGGCATTAGGTAAATAAGAAAAAAATGTTCAAAAAACCCAATTCGCCTAGCTTTCTAACGGCTCTCGTCTTCTATTTACCGTCAAATGGTGGAGAGAAAATCTCACTTTGTATCTCGATCCTCATCTCGTTGACTGTCTTCTTCTTGCTGCTGGGTGAGTTCTTGAACTTAGCCTTATAGAAATGCGGTTTATAATGGGGTTTATAATGGGGTTTATAATGAAAGGGTTTATAAGCAAAATGTATTCAGCTACCCAACAAAATGCTATATCATTCAGCCATCGATTTAGTTCACCAGTGATTTTCAAGAGTAACCTTCCTCGACTAGAAGCTAGGTTCTAGCTTACTAGATCGGATCTTGGCCTGGATCCTAGCCTGGTTCTTGGCCTGGCTCTTGGCCTGGATCCTAGCCTGGTTCTTGGCCTGGCTCTTGGCCTGGATCCTAGCCTGGTTCTTGGCCTGGATCCTAGCCTGATTCTTGACCTGGATCCTAGTTTGGTTCTTGGCCTGGCTCTTGGCCTGGATCCTAGCCTGGTTCTTGGCCTGGCTTTGGCCTGGCTCTTGGCCTGGTTCTTGGCCTGAATCCTAGCCTGGTTCTTGACCTGGCTCTAGACTTGGCTCTTGACCCGGCTCTTGGCCTGGCTCTAGACTTGGCTTTACTCTAGATGACTCTTTACTCTTTCCAGCATCAAAGGCAAGCCAGATCCTAGATTTTGACTTGGCTTTACTAAGCCTGGGTTGCCTTGGTCTGCTGGTCGACTTAGGTCGGCCTAGGTCTGCTGGTCTAGGTCGGCCTAGGTTGTGCTTGTCTGGTCCCCCCTTATCTCTTGTGTTACGTCCGCCCTAGTCCTAGCCGAGTTCTGGCTTTGCTTTCCTGGGATGGTTACAGGCTTACTACAGGAAGATCTCTACCCCTTTTCAAGCATTTTTTCAGTCTCTGATTGAAAATTGAAAGCCTGGCTCAACCTTAACAAAAAAAATTAGATTTTAAACATTCTAGAATATGGGATTTTTCACTAGAGGATTGGGCAAAATTACCTTTTTGGAAAAATAGTTGTCGACAACTTTTTGGAAAGTAGTTTTTGTATGCTTAATTTATTTTAAAGTATTAATTGTTATATAGCAAATTGTAGCCCTTAATCTTGGCTACATTTATCTTCTAAAAGCTTTCCATTTGGATGGAGACAGCTCATTTTACAAGGCCTTGAATGAGATGTAGAAAATTGTCAAAAATGCCCGGATAGAGCTTATTCAAGGCCTTGTAAAATGAGCTGTATTCATCCGAATGGAAAGCTTTTAGAAGATAAATGTAGCCAAGATTAAGGGCTACAATTTGCTATATAGCAATTAATACTTTGAAATAAATTAAGTATACAAAAACTACTTTCCAAAAAGTTGTTCGGACATTTTTGCTCAACCGGATCACCGGCTTTGCAAGAGACGATAATCGATAATCAAATGAAGGCAAATTCTTTTCAAGAACTTCTAAAAGCTTCAATTTTGCTAATACCGTATTTACTCTATTAGTGGGGTCCCCCACTATTTTTTCAATCCCCTTCCAGACGACCCCACTATTAGAGAGGACCCCACTATTAGAGAAATTTAAAAGAACATAAAACCAAAGTTTTTTAAGTTGAAAAGATATCAATTTTTCTCCGAAATTCTTGAAAAAACAAGTTTGGCTTCATATTTTATTTAGCTTTAACCGTAACAAAACATTAACAAACAGTAAAAGAACTAATCCAAGAGATCAACAATTGATGTATCACTTTCGTTACCAATATTAGAGAGGACCCCACTATTTTTTCAACCCCCCTCCAGACGACCCCACTATTAGAGAGGACCCCACTAATAGAGTAAATACGGTAGACTATTTTTTAAGCTTAGAAAGCTTAAAGAAGCCTAAAAAAAGCTTAGAAAACTTAAAGAAAGCTTAGCAAGCTTTAAAAAAAGCTTAGCAGGCTTAGAAAGCTTAAAAAAAAGCTAAGGAAGCTTCAAAAAAGCTCAAAAAAAGCTTAGAAAGCTTAAAAAAAGCTTTTATATCAAAATTTCAGTCGAAATCATCCCGTCGACCTCTCTCGTGATTCCACTAATCGGTCGTTACCTCCTCTTCACAATGGTGCTCGTCACACTTTCCGTTGTCGTCACCGTCGTGACGCTGGTTTATTTTTATAAAAGTTACAATTCCTAGACAATTATCTATATGTTTCGATCAAAATCTGATTTGTTTATTTGTTTAGAATGTTTTCTATCGATCACCAGCCACTCACACGATGCCGAAATGGGTGAAAGTCGTCTTCATCGAGGTGGGCTTGAGTTTATTTTATAAATACCGTATTCTCTGTAATATTAGTGCACCGTGAGCGTCGCGTTAATTGCTCGAAATCTCGAGAACCGCTTATCAGAACCTATCGATGTGGGGTCGGAAAATGTAGCTGACGATGAGATCTAGTGGGGGATTTGAGTGTTGAGCTTCTGGGAAAGCTTTGGAAGCCGTAAATACTCGCCAACTCGGCTGGGTGCACTACTATTAGAGAAAATACGGGAAATCCACAGGATGTCCCAAAATTATTGAGCGAAATTTTTGTAAAAGCAGCAAATGGCTAACTTATTTCAAAAAGTACCAAGTGTTATATAGAGATTTGAAGCGCTGATTCTTGGCTACATTTATCTACAAAAAGCTTCCGAATTGGATGCTTACAACTCTTTAAACAAGCTCTCGAATGAGCTCAACGCCATAGCCATTTGCTGCTTTTACAAAAATTTCGCTCGATAATTTTGGGACATCCTGTGGATTTCCCGTATTTTCTCTAATAGTAGTGCACCCAGCCGAGTTGGCGACTATTTACGGCTTCCAAAGCTTTCCCAGAAGCTCAACACTCAAATCTCCCACTAGATCTCATCGTCAGCTATATTTTCCGACCCCACATCGATAGGTTCTGATAAGCGGTTCTCGAGATTTCGAGCAATTTAGGCGAAGCTTTGGATGCACTAATATTAGAGAAAATAGAGAAAATAGAGAAAATGGTTCGTCAAATTTGAAAGATTTCTACTAAATTCTAGTTTCTAATAGATTTCAAATCAATTCGAGTTTCTAATTTGAAATCAATTCCAGTTCCTCCCCAAATACCTCTTCATGCAACGACCACAGCCGATTCCCCGACAAATGAAAAGAAGCAACGGAATGGCACCTCCAACTGCTCCAAATCCAGCGGTAACATCTATTTTCTTTTTGTAAAATGTAAAATAATAGAAATCAAATGAAATTAGCGTGCGAGTTATATTAAGTTATATTATTTTCTGAATTAAATTCAGAAAATTCTCATCCTTAAATTCTTATTTCTTAAATTCTTATTCTTAAATTAAATATATATTTAAATATTTTTAATATCATTGAATTCGCCAAGTCTTTCTCTATCGATTGGTATAAAAAGTATTTAAACTGAGCAACCCAAAGCCAAGATATTTGAGCTTAAAGTTAGAGTGCCAGGTCCGTCGCCCCGCTCCCTTGCCATTGGCACTCTAACTTTAAGCTCAAATATCTTGGCTTTGGGTTGTTCAATTTGAATACTTTTTTTACCAATCGAGAGAGAAAGACTTGGCGAATCTAATGATCTAAAAAACATTTAAATTGGACAATCCAAAGCCAAGATATTTGAGCTCAAAGTTGAGCCAATGACAAAGAAGCGGGGTCCCCCGGTAAGTTGCTTCTAGCTTTCTTCAAATCTATCGGTTCATATGATCTATAGCTTAAAAAATAGAGAATCTCAAGAGCTTTCAAATGAACTAAAGCACACAAAAAATAACAGCTCTAAAGAAAGTTACAGTGATTTGTAGCTTCGACTACGGTCCGTTAGGCTACAAATCACTCTAACTTCTTTAGAATTCCTCTTTTAGAGTCTGCTTTAGTTCATTTGAAAGCTCTTGAGATTCTCTATTTTTTAAGCAATAGATCATATGAATCCGATAGATTTGAAGAAAGTTAGAAGCGTTTGTAGTGTGATAGTTCATTATTTTTTGTCTTTTTTCGACTTTTTTTTGTAGTTTATAGTGCCAAAAGTTTCTAGTGTCCATCTAAAGTTCTCTATTTCATGCTACAAGTAAAACTGTAAGCATCTCTTGCGTATTGCATTACCAACTTTGGCCAACTTTCAATAAACAACGAAAAATTGATGACGATTTCTTACAGAATCTGAAAAAAGCATCACAGATCTCGAATTTCTCAATTGGTGGCCAAAATCATTACACAAGTGCGATGTCGGATCAGGTTTCTTTTGTTAAAAGTTTTAGAAATCGATTCGATCTTTCAGATGGATTATTTAACACCAGGCGTACGAAGAAGAGCCAGCTCAAACGAAGGAACATCTTTCTCATTACCTAGGTAAGAAAGACTCAAAGTAGAGTAATAAAGAAGACTTATAAAGACTTATAAAGACTTAGAAAGACTTAGAAAGACTTATAAAAACTTATAGAGACTTATAAAGACTTAGAAAGACTTATAAAGACTTATAGAGACTTTTAGAGTCGACTTTAAATCCTTATAAAGTAGATATTTGACTAGATCTTTAACTAGATATTAAACTAGATATTGAACTAGATATTTGAATGGATTATGTTCTTGATTGAGCTTAATGATCAATATTTCAGACAACGTGAGGTAAGCCCAGTGCGGAGTGCGGTCGAGAGTGTCGCCTATATCGCTGACTCATTGAAAAACGATCAAGATGATAAACAGGTGAGAGAAATTTGAAAATTTAAAGCTAACAGCTCAATGACAGCTATAGCTCAATGACAGCTATAGCTCAATGACAGCTAAAGCTCAATGACAGCGCTCAATGACAGCTATAGCTCAATGACAGCGCTCAATGACAGCTAACAGCTCAATGATAGCTAAAGCTCAATGACAGCTAAAGCTCAATGACAGCGCTCAATGACAGCTAACAGCTCAATGACAGCTATAGCTCAATGATAGCTAACAGCTCAATGATAGCTATAGCTCAATGAAAAGCTTCTAATGATCAAAAGAAACAGATTCGATAAGAAACAGACAAGATTCAAACCCAAATTCAGGTGATCGAAGATTGGAAATACGTTTCCGTTGTGCTGGATCGTGTCTTTCTCATTCTATTTGCTTTGGCCTGTACAATTGGAACCTATTTGATCATCTTCCGACGAGCCGCCGATTTAGGGAACAAGAGGATATAGGTGAGTCAAATTCAACCCCTATTTACCACACAAAACTAAGCAACTAAGCATTTTGCGTCTCTAGATTTGCACAACTCTTGCAGAGACATTTGTACAAGCTTTTCTAAAGCTAAAGCTCTAAATACTTTATAGAAATATGACTGGAAATGAAGCTAACATCAAGCTAACATCAAGCTAATCAAGCTAATCAAGCCAATCAAGCTAATCAAGCTAATCAAGCTAATCAAGCTAACATCAAGCTAACATCAAGCTAATCAAGCTAATCAAGCCAATCAAGCTAATCAAGCCAATAAAGCTAATCAAGCTAATCAAGCTAATCAAGCTAACATCAAGCTAACATCAAGCTAACATCAAGCTAATCAAGCTAATCAAGCCAATCAAGCTAATCAAGCTAATCAAGCTAACATCAAGCTAACATCAAGCTAACATCAAGCTAGCATCAAGCTAATCAAGCTAATATGAATATAACCTCTTTCAGTATTAAAGCTTCATGAACAGACGATCTTTTCAGGTTCTCGATTTTCTCATTCACTCATTCACCCCACTCAATTCCCCCTCTCAACTTTGTGTGACGAGAGAAAGGACAGGGACCGATAGTGTGCTTATTTCTGAAGCGGGATTCCCCTAAAAACGGGTTTTTACTTTATTCTAAGTCTTCTACCGTATAGGCTTTGTATTTCTATTGAAAGTGTTTTCTAAAATGTGACCTTGTTACCGTAGTTCTGCAATCTAGAGGTTTTTTGGGAAAAACAGATCGAATTGGAACGGATCGAGCTAGTATCAGTTGGATCTATCGAATCGGATCAGATCGGAGCGACCTAGCCCGATCGGTCGAGTCCATCGAACTGGAACGGATCAGGCTAGCCTGATCGGTCAGATCAATCGGATCGGATCAATCGGGCTAGCTCGATCAATCGGACTGATCGGGCCGGGCTAGTCTGATCGGTCGGACGGATCGGATCGGGCTAGCCTGATCGGTCAGATCAATCGGATCGGATCGAATCGAGCTAGCCCGATCAATCGGACGGATCGGGTCGGGCTAGCCTGATCGGTTGAACAGATCAGATCGAGTCGGGCTAGGCCGATCTGTCCGACGGATCAGATCGGATCGGGCTAGCCTGATCGATCAGACCTATTGGCTCGGATCAGAGGGGATCGAGCTAGCCCGATCGGTCGTACCTATCGAATCGGGCTAGCCCGATCGGTCCTGATCCTATCCGCTCCGATAAAGCCCGAACCGATCTGATCTGAAAACCATGTCTACTGCAACCTTTTATAAAGTTTCCTTCTCTTTCTTCCTCCTCTTTCTTCCTTCTCTTCCTTCCTTCTCTTTCTTCCTCTTCTCCTTTTTCTTCTCCGGCAAGCAGAAAACCAGATAGCTCAGTGGTTAGAGCCTTTGTCTAGAAAGCAAAAAGGCAAGCATAAAGATCGAAGGTTCAATCGCGTCTCCGAAATCTTTCTTTACCATTCCTTCTTTTAGTTTATCGTAATCCGTGATCAGTACTGATCTTGATCTTACTGATCTTTATCTTGTTGATCTTTAAAATTGCTTGATTGATTGCTTTAAAATGTTTAACTTTAGAGCTTTAAACCTAAGCCTTAAAGCTCTTTTCTTTTAAACTAATAATATGGTTAAAGTAGGTTTGCAAGTAGGTTTTTCTTTCTTCTCTTTCTCCCTTCTCTTTCTTCCTTCTTCCTTCTCTTTATACAATACAACCAGACTACAAAGGAAACATTTTAGAAAATGCCCAACGTCTAATAAACGTCTTTTTGTCTTTTTTCGTCATTTCTTTACATCCTCATTTCTAAATTGTGATTTTCTAATTGATTTTAAATTTTATTTATGCTCATATTAAGCTCTAATTCTTGCCCACTTCTGGGGGTGGGACAAATGCGACCTTTTTTTGCGCATCTGGACATTTGCGCACCTTTTTTTGCTGGAAAAGGCCTTAGGAAAGGTCGTAGAGCATCAAAAATGTTTTCACAGAAGGGAATCGTATGCGTAGATTCCGAATTTCGACAAATCACACCTCGCTGACACGTCAAATTTGGGCTAAAAGGAAAAACTACGCAACTTAACGCTTTTCCGCAGTTTTTGTCTTTCTTTTCAATAGAAATCGTTGGATTTTTGGTCTAAGAAAGCGGAAAAGCGTTAAGTTGCGTAGTTTTTGCCTTTTAGCCCAAATTTGACGTGTCAGCGAGGTGTGATTTGTCGAAATTCGGAATCTACGCATACGATTCCCTTCCGTGAAAACATTTTTGAAGCTCTACGACCTTTCCTAAGGCCTTTTCCAGCAAAAAAAAGGTGCGCAAATGTCCAGATGCGCAAAAAAGCTCGCATTTGTCCCACTCCCCTATTTCTTGCAAATTAAAAGAAAAAAAAACATTTTCCCATTTTCATATCCGAATTTCGTGATTTAGGCAAACAAATTCGGTTTTTTTTGGATTTTTAAGAATGATTTTTTGGACATTAAGAATGATTTTTTTGTTTCTAAATTCAGATTGATGAAGAAAATTGATTAAGATTGATTAAGATTTCGAAATTTAACGTGAAAATCGATTCTTGATTGATTTCTTTTCTTTTCTCTTCTTTTCTTTTCCGTTTTTTTACCCTCCAACCATACAAAGTGCTTTCGTTTTGAATGATTTTTTTTTAAAGGAAATAAATATAAATATTTTTTATGATGGAAAAAAACAAAAATCATTGATTTAGTAGTACTTTGGAGGCTTTTTTGATCTAAACGAAACCTTTCTGGAGCACTGAATTCTTTGCTTTTCTGGATAAAGAAAGTGAAAAGTGAAAAGAAAGTGAAGAAAGTGAAGAAAGTGAAGAAAGTGAAGAAAGTGAAGAAAGTGAAGAAAAAACGATTATATAACGAGAAAACTAGAAAACTAGAAAACTAGAGAGCTAGAGAGCTAGAGACCTAGAGAGCTAGATAACTAGAGAGCTAGAGAGCTAGATAACTAGATAACTAGATAGCTAGATAACTAGATAACTAGAAAACTAGATAGCTAGAGAGCTAGATAACTAGATAACTAGATATCTAGATAGCTAGAGAGCTAGATAAATAGATAACTAGATAGCTAGATAGCTAGAGACCTAGAGAGCTAGAGAGCTAGAGAGCTAGATAACTAGATAACTAGATAGCTAGAGAGCTAGAGACCTAGAGAGCTAGATAACTAGATAACTAGATAGCTAGATAACTAGATAACTAGATAGCTAGAGAGCTAGATAACTAGATAACTAAATAACTAGAAAACTAGAAAACTAGAATACTAGAAAGATAGAAAACCAGAAAACTAGAATCCAGTGCGCTGGAAGAGAAGCGTTTAAAGACTTTGAGCACAAAGTACACGAAGATTTACGTTTACCCGTGGAAATTGTTTAGCATAACAATCATTTAGCAAAAGATATAAAGCATAACAATCAAGCATCAGCATAACAATCAACAATCAATCATTATCCCAAAACATCGACATCTCGTCCAGCGACTCGTACTCCATAAACGAGATAGTAATAGGTGGCCATCATTATATCACTGACATAATGCGTCGTGATCAGATTTGTTGAGCAACAAGCTTTTCCCTGTAAAATTTGATCCTTTACTTTCACTAACAAGAGAAGTACCCCAGCTCGCCACCACCCACGCCCAAGGAGAATCGAACCCGAGCAAAAAAGACCATGATTGATTTGTATACAAGCATCTTATCCACTGGACCACCAACTCATTTTGACTTGGAGCGAAAAAAGCCTTTTAACCAAGTTCTCAAGTTCTCAACAGCGAGAAGTTTTCAACATCTCGCTTAAAAGACTTTTTTCGAGGGACGCCGGCGTGTGCTGGTGGCCTAGTGGATAAGGTGCTTGGATACAAAGCGAGCAATCTCTCTTCTGCTTGGGTTCGAGTCCTCGCCTCGCAAATCTGCCTCCTTTTTTGCAAAAAATGCGAAAAGTCTTTAAGCAAGATGTTGAAAACTTCTAAACCAAATATCTCGCAGTGTGGGCAGTTAATTTTGGGCATTTTGATGAGCTTATTCTATAACTTCTTGGGCGTCTGGTGGGCGGCGGTGGGAATCTGGGCTACTTCCCTTGTAAGCTGTGCTAAATTATCGGGATTTTCAATTGAAGGCTTGCTAAAAAAAAGTTACACTACGCTACAATACGCCTTGAGACATAGCACTACAGACAGTTGTTACAGTACACTACAGTGCAACCGTAGCTGATGTGAGCATGGTTTCTAGATCGTTTATTAGACAAGGTTAAGCTAGGTTTTAAAAGTACTGTAGCGTACTGTAGTGTACTATGGCGTACTATAGTGTGTTATAGCGTACTGTGGCGTACTATAGCATACTATAGTGTACTGTAGCGTACTATAGCGTACTATAGTGTACTGTAGCGTACTATAGCGTACTGTACCGTACTGTAGCGTAATATAGCGTACTATAGCGTACTATAGCGTACTATAGCATACTGTAGCCTACTGTAGCCTACTATAGCGTACCATAGCGTATTATAGAGTACTGTAGTGTGCTATAGCGTACTGTAGCGTACTATATTGTACTGTAGGGTACTGTGGCGTACTATAGCGTACTATGCTGTACTGTACTAATCTAGCAGTGAGTTGCAGCATGTTGTAGTGATTGGATGTGCACTGTTTTGTACTGTATTGGAATGATTGTGTGGTCTAATGCACTGAGCTGTAGCGGCTGTCTACTGTAGCGTACCGTAGCGTACTGTAGTGTAACTGAAGTAGCTGTTTACTGGTTTACTGTGCAGTTACGGGTCAAGCCTACAGATTTCGCGATTCAAAGAACCGACCGGCTGTAGCTTGGCCGCCACCGATTGCCGCGCCCATCCCCGATCCATTCCACTGATCCTGTTTGTTGGATGAATGATATCCATGACGTCGATTGGCAACATCCTTTAAATGTTCAAAGAAATGGGATTCACTTCCAAATCTGCTCTTTACTCTTTACGCGTTACTCTTTACGCAAAGAAAACTTACATATGAGCTCCCTGCCGGTCAACGGACGGGATCGCCGTAACGCCCGCACTCCGAAGACACCAACCGACCTGAAAAGTTTGAAAAGATTTCTTCCGATCTATTCGATAGTTTCTATTAGTACTTTTGACTACTTTCCACTTGCCAAAAGCCGTATTTTAAAGGCAGAAAAAGATTGAGCGATTGAGGCAGTTTTTCCGCTTTTTATTCGCAACTATGTTCAAATTTTTCGAAACAATTTTGCTTTATCCATTCTACCCTTAGCTTTTTTAAATGCAAATTTGCAAAATGCAAAATGCAAAATGCAAAATAAGCAAAGTACCCAATACTCTACCGATTTTCAACTTATTTTTGCTTACTTCCGTGTCCTCATGGAGATAGGAAGTGTTCCGACACTTCTCCCCATTCGATTCCTCGATCACTTCTACGAACCTGAAAATGAAAAAGAAATGAAAAATTAAGTAAATTTAATGATTTTAGTATAAGCACATGATTTTTGGGTGCTTTACGGTTAACGGGGGAGGAGGAGGAGCAGGAGGAGCAGGAGGAGCAGGAGGAGGAGCAGGAGGAGCAGGAGGAGGAGCAGAAGGAGCAGGAGGAGGAGCAGGAGTAGGAGGAGCGGGAGGAGGAGCAGGAGTAGCAGGAGCGGGAGGAAGAGCAGGAGGAGCAGGAGGAGCAGGAGGAGGAGGGACATTGTTTCTTTTACAAATTCAACAAAATTCTCTATAACATCGTTTAATCATTTGCGTTTAAGCAAAATTTTGTTTAAAAGTATTCAACGTCGGAATTGGGCATTATGAATAGTTTTTAAGCAATAGATCGTGTCAATCCGAGATAGCTTTGATGTCGACAGAGAGTTTGAAGTGAACGATTGTAGTTTGTAGGCATTTCGGAGGCTTGTAGTTTGTAGGCTATTTCAGAGGCTTGTAGTTTGTAGTCCATTTCAGGCGCTTGTAGTTTGTAGCCTCGTTCGGAGGCTTTTAGTTTGTATTCTATTTCAGAGGCTTGTAGTTTGTAGGCATTTCAGAGGCTTGTAGTTTGTGTTCTATTTCAGGGGCCTGTAGTTTGTATTCTATTTTGGAGGCTTGTAGTTTGTAGTCTATTCCGGGCGCTTGTTGTTTGTAGTCTATTTCGAACGCTTTTAGCTTGTATTCTATTTCAGAGGCTTGTAGTTTGTAGCCCGAATTTGTTCCGTTTTCGATGAACCGATGAAAACCGAGAAAAAGTTCACCTTTTCAGTCCCTCTCTCGACAAAATATAACCCGATCCACCACTCGGATAGATGAAATCGCGTGGTCTCTTCTGCAAAATTTCGACATTTAACCTCAACTTTCAACAAACCGTCAACGAATGATCCATATATTTGAGCATTGTCGCCAAATAGAGTGGCTCATTCGGCGAACGACCCTTCAAATATTCTTTCAAATTCTCGATCACAACGAATGTGTCGTCGTCGGCTTTCAAAAACCAATCGTAGGATTTCTAAATTCGACGAGGATCAAATTTCGGACTTTTGCTCGCTTACTATTGCATTTTTTATATATTACATATATCTAAATGAGAACTAAATGAAAATATGAGGAAGTTTCTAAGAAGATATATGATAACGTCATTTTCGCATTCAAAGCGCCATTGGCACTCAAATATCTCGGCGTTGGGTTATTCAATTTAAATATTTTTGATATCATTGGATAGCCAAGTCTTTCTCTATCGATTGGTACAAAAACTATTTTAATTGGACAGCCCAACACCAAGAAATTTGAGCTCGAAGTTGAGCCAATGGCAATCTAACTTTGAGCTCAAATATCTTCGCTTTGAGTTGTTCAATTTAAATATTTTTAATATCATTGGATTCGCCAAATCTTTCTCTATCGATTAGTATAAAAGCTGTTTTAATGAACAGCCCAAAGCTATAAAAGGCCCCAAAGCCAAGGTGGGACCCCGCTTCTTTGTCATTGGCTCGACTTTGAGCTCAAATATCTTGGCTTTGGGTTGTTCAATTTAACGATTCTTAGTATCGTTAGATTCGTCAAGTCTTTCTCTCTCGATTGATATAAAAACTGTTTTAATTGAACAGCCCAAAGCCAATATATTTGAGCTCGAAGTTAGAGTGCCAATGGCAAAGGGAGTGGAGCGACGGACCTTTCATACAAGCAATATATCTTGGCTTTGGGTTGTTCAGTTTACATACTTTTTATACCAATCGATAGAGAAAGACTTGGCCAATCTAATGATACCAAAAATGTTTAAACTGAGCAATCCAAAGCCAAGATATTTGAGCTCAAAGTTGAGCCAAGGTCAAAGAAGCGGGGCGCGTATCAAATATCCCACAATCTTTCCCAAATGTCACCAGGCCTGCATTTCTGCCCAAAGAGATCTATTTAAAAGAAAGTCACGTATCAAATCTCCCACAATCAATCTGAAAAAGGTCCTATTTCAGCATGACAATGCCCGCCTAAACACTGCTGAACTGACTGAACTTTATGGAAATAAGGAACCAAATTCATAGAGATAAGGATCCAAATCTAGATAGATAAGGAACCAAATTTAGAGAGATAAGCAAACTAAACACTGCTGAACTGACTTGCTCTATAATCAAGAGTTTGGTCTAAAAACTTCTCGCCTACTCAGCACAAATTGGCCGTCAATTTTGCTGATTATTCTAGTATCGAATAAATTATGAATCCTTTAAAACTCACCCCTTTCTCCTCGTAAAGTTTCTTCATCCCAGCACGTAAACGATCCCACAACCAGTAATGGTTATTGATATTGTAACGGGCATTTCTAAATATCTAGATGACGATAAACCTTAAGCAATTGTACTTGTACCTGTACTTGTACTTGTACCTGTACTTGTACCTGTACTTGCACTTGTACTTGCACTTGTACTTGTACTTGTACTTGCACTTGTACTTGCTTGTACTTGTACTTGTACTTGTACTTACGTTAAGCTACGTTAAAGATACGTTAAGCAAAAGCACTTTGAAAAACAAACGTGAAGTTGAAAGTCCAATAATCGTGGATATTCTCTGTGTCATTTGTCATTGTCGTTGTGAAAATATGGCCATCACAGTGACGAGCCCATGTGGCCTAAAGAAGATTGTTCTCTGAATCTCAAGAACTCATACATTAACCGTTTTGATTTTATCGACATGAGAGGGCATTGTGTTGATCATACAGAAAATACGAGGCCATCTTCGATCTAAACTTTGAAATGATAGGCTTTGAAAGAAAATCAGATCATTTGCGTTGTTTACTAGAAATTAACACAGATTTCCGGATACTTAGCTACATAGCTAGCCCATTAAGCTACAGCTACAGCTACAACTACAGCTACAACTACAGCTACAGCTACAGCTATAGCTACAGCTACAGCTACAGCTACAGCTACAGCTTCAGCTTAATAGAGCTTTTAAATGAAGATTTCAAATGAATCGATTCATTAATCATTTCTAAATTATTTCGAAAGATTTTCCGTTCAACCTAATATCTAGATGCTTTACTTGTTTCCTTGATTTGCTTATTTCTAGAGCAAAAGCTTTAGCCCTTAAATCAGGACAAAACCAAGCTGTGTCTATTTGGAGTTTAAGCTTTTAACTCTCAAAATCAAAATAGTACTTGTCGAAAAGTTATTGCTAAGATGTAGCTGTAGCTGTAGCTTAATGGAATTGCTATGTAGCTGTAGCTGTAGCTGTTATTGCTAAAGAGTCACTAGATTAATCTGTTTCTAACAAGACTGAATCCCAGCTAACAACTTTTTTCATTGTCTCATTTTTGTGTGTCTGTTTTCTGTGCTTAGACACGACTCAGATCTAGTCAGAAATAAAGAATCAAGTCTTTCAGAAGTCCTGTGCTTACAAATTGCCCCAAAATACAAAACCCTGCTCACCGGGCGTAATCCCCAGCTCTTGCATCAACGATTTCTCCTCGTTCATTTCCAATTGATCATCGTATCCACCATTTTCTGTATCATCCGCCAAAACTGAAAAAGATTTTGCCAAAGTTTCCTTTCTTAATTCTCAATTTCTTAATTTCTTAATCTCTTAATTTCTGAATTTCTGAATTTCTTAGTTTCTTAATTTCTTAATTTCTCAATTTCTTAATTTCTCAATTTCTCAATTTCTTAATTTCTTGATTCTTAATTTCTTAATTTCTTAGTTTCCCTAAAGTCGCGAGTATAAGTTCTGTTTCGTTTTCGCATGCAAATTGACGGCTGTCTCCGGTGCCGTGTGTCGAGGGTTCGAACCCCGCTGCAGCATAACTTTTTTGCTTCTTAAGAACAATAATAGAAGTAAATTTATTGAGGGTTATAGCAATTTTATGCTGTTATTTGTTGCTCCGGGCGTGGCTCGGCGCGTCCGCCCTGCTCCTCTCCGGTGCTCAGTCTTATGGATCCCTCCCTGGCCTTTTCATCCGGCCAAAGTCCACACGGCCAAAGAAAACCGCTCGACGGTCGAAAGAGATGCTTTCCAGCGTCTTCTTCAACACTATCGTCTGGATGTATCCATGCACATAACAAATAGCAATGGTGATAGGCTGTCACCATTGCTACCGTATTGGATTAAAAAGGAATCGTATTGGAACCGTATTGGATCCATATTGGATTAAAAAGGAATCGTATTGGAACCGTATTGGAACCATATTGGATTAAAAAGGAATCGTATTGGAACCGTATTGGGACCGTATTGGGACCGTATTGGAACCGTATTGGATTAAAAAGGAATCGTATTGGAACCGTATTGGAACCATATTGGATTAAAAAGGAATCGTATTGGAACCGTATTGGAACCGTATTGGATCCATATTGGATTAAAAAGGAATCGTATTGGAACCGTATTGGAACCGTATTGGGACCGTATTGGATTAAAAAGGAATCGTATTGGAACCGTATTGGATTAAAAAAGGAATCGTATTGGAACCGTATTGGAGTATCCCGCGCTCCAAGAACAATAATAAAAGTTTATATAACAATAAAAATGTATAAAAACCCAACAAAAATAAATTCAAAGCAATTAAAAAGCGAATGTAAATTAAGGCAGAACTTATACTCGAGACTTTAGGGTTCTTAATTTCTTAATTTCTTAACCCACTTTCCACAGGTTCACGTTTTTCTTCATCGGCTAAACGAGGGAAATCATCTAAAAATGGAAATTAAAAACGCAATTTAAAAACGCAAACGCAAAAAAGATACTATATAATTTGTCAAATTTAATCAAAGCACTTTTTAAAAATGGAGAAGTTGGCGCGAAAGCCACCCATCCAATCCCGATTCCCACCAGAGTGGCCACGAAAAGACGCCTGAATTTACTAGCTTTGATTGAATAGTGTGATTGTTAGTTATTGAATAGTGTGATTGTTAGTGATTGAATCACCATCGGCTAATTTACTACTTATCAATGTGGACATCTTTAGATTTAAGCACTTTAAACTAAACATTTTGATCGATCACTTAACAAACAGGCGATCGATTTGAGCTTTAAGAGAATCGAGAGACGAAACATTCAATTCTGGTTGCGCTGTTCGCTCAATTTAGCTACTGTTTAAGTAAAACAATGGGTTTAACAGGTTACAGAGTTTATAGCAAATATACAGCCAAATTTAGGGGAAAAATCGGTTATCGGACATTTGATATGCGCCCCGCTTCTTTGCCATTGGCAATCTAACTTTGAGCTCAAATATCTTGGCTTTGGGTTGTTCGATTCAAACATTCTTGGTATCTATAGATTCGTCAAGCCTTTCTCTATTGATTGGTATAAAAAACATTTAAATTGGACAACCCAAAACCAAGAGATTTGAGCTCGAAGTTGAGCCAATGGCAATCTAACTTTGAGCTCAAATATCTTGGCTTTGAGTTATTCAATTCAAACATATTTGATATCATTAGATTCATCAAGTCTTTCTCTATCGATTGGGATAAAACTATTTCAATTGAAGAACCCAACACCAAGATATTTGTGTTCAAAGTTGGATTGCCAATGGCAAAGGGGCGGGGCTCGTATCAAATGCCCCACAATCCAAAAATCGATCCCAGAAATGGCTAAAAAGTAGAGAATCGATTAGTAATCGAGAAAGTTGACAGATTTTCGAAAACGATCAGCTCCCAAAGACTTTGGGTACGTTTATAAATCCACCGTAAGTGCCACAAACCTGTGACTGTTCATCGTGGCTCGTAATCAATCTACAATTATACCCAATATCTAAACTTTGCTTTAAATAAGGCTTATGAAAAACTAACTTATGAAAAATAGAGGAAAAATCGAAAGAAATCTTGAAAGAAATCGTTTATCTGAACTTGTTTTTCTCGATTTTAAAAAGCTAAAAAGAATAGAAGAGTGAATCGTTTCGATCAAAGCCATTTTTCCCCTTGAAAAGACGCGAAAAAGCGTCCGCAATTCTAATATTTGTGCAGATGGCCCGGAAACACGACTATAACTCTGTCGATGCACAAAAAGAGAAGATCTCTTTGAAATTTTACAAGCACTTCATTGAAATCGAAGCGGGGGAATTTCGAATCTCTTTGTTTGTTTTACGAAATGGTGTGGATTTGTTGGAATCGATTCGGAAGTGATCAAAATTTCTGTTTCCAGCTTTAGAGACATTTCTTTTGTCTAATCCGTTTTCGTTTTCGAAGGTAAATGTTACTTGTTTGAGCAGGGATTGCTGTTGTGACAACGACTGTTGCATAAAACGTTTGACTTGAGACATACACATCGACCATTTACGCAACCATTTGTACATTTCCAGTGCTTGTGGCCCGAACAATTAAAGGCAATTAAACAAACACAGGAAAGCAATTAAACAAACGCTACAAAAAAAAATTACTTTGAAATCCGGTGAGAGATTCAGCGCCTACTGCTGAGCGAAATGATTTCTCCTTTGATAAAAATCTCGATGACATCCTTCGATATTCCATGATATTCCCTCAGTGCTTTCCACATTATGTCCCGTCCTGCGTGTTTATGATCCTTGTGTGTTTTCATCATCAGTTCAAAGAGATCTGGTACTGATTGCAAATCGATCAGATCCACTTGGGCCCGCTCATTTTGTTGTTTGGTGATGATTGGCTTGACAACGACTCCTTTTTTCGACGTGCCTTTGTTCAATTCACATTCAGAACAGAGTTTGACAAAAATCTCGATGATATCCTTCGATATTCCATGATATTCCCTTAGTGCTTTCCACATTATGTCCCTTTCAGGGTGTCCATGATCCTTGTGTGTTTTCATCATCAGTTCAGAGAGATTTTCCTTGATGATCAACGAGTGATCTCGTTTCATTTATTCGGTTCTTCCAATGTTGTAAATGATGTCCAGATTGTTCTCCTTTTGCAAAGTAAAGCGCGCCAACAAATTCATTTCTTCAGGAGTCCTTTTTCCTTTTGTATCTTCACTGGTTATTCGTTTGATCGTTTTCACTATTTCGGCGTGTTTTGTGACATCGGGAATCCAATTGTATTTCTTCGTAGATTGATGTTGCGTAGGGTGCTCGACAAATTTACTTTCCATTTCTAAAAAAATAACTAGAAAAGTTGAAACGATACACGAGATAAATCGAAAAGAAGAAACGATTGAAAAATTATTACTCAACTATTACTTAAAATAAAAATTATTACTCAACTATTACTTAAAATAAAAATTATTACTGATTAAACACCGAAGAAAGTAATAGTTTGTGTCTAAAAGATGGAATGAGTGGCGTTGTTTTAATTTTTTTTTCGAAAACATCTTTTTAAAAAGATTTGACAACAGAAGGCAACAATTTGACAACAAAAGGCAACAATTTGACAACAGAAGGCAACAGTTTGACAATAGAAGGCAGCAATTTGACAATAGAAGGCAGCAATTTGACAACAGAAGGCAACAATTTGACAACAGAAGGCAACAATTTGACAACAGAAGGCAACAATTTGGCAACAGAAGGCAACAATTTGACAACAGAAGTTACCTCCCGAGGTGTTAAAATATTTGGTCCTATTAACCTAACTTTTTTATTTGCATGTGAGATAAATCTGCATTGTATTCCAAATGTTTCATTAAAAAAAACGCACTTTTGTACGCACAAAACCATTTGTACACTCACAGTGCTTGTGCCCTAAACAAAAGCAATTAAACAAACGCTACAAAAAAATACCTTGAGATCCGGTGAGAGATTCGGCGCTGACTGCTGAGCGAAATGATGTCTCCTTTTGTCCGTGTCCATGATCCTGTTTTCATCAACAGTTCAAAGAGATTTTCCTTGATGACTCGTTTCATTTCGTTGATGATCACTCGTTTCATTTATTCGGTTCTTCCAATGTTGTAGATGATGTCCAGATCGTTTTCCTTCCGCAAAGTAAAGCGCGCCAACAAATTCATTTCTTCAGGAGTCCTTTTTCCTTTCGTATCTTCACTGGTTATTTGTTTGAGGGTTTTCACCATTTCGGCGTTTCGGCATTTCGGCGTTGGCATCAGGAATCCAATTGTATTTCTTCCTAGATTGATGTTGCATAAGGTGATCGACAAATTTACTTTCCATTTCTAAAAAAAATAACCAGAAAAGCAGATACACTAGATAAATCGAAAAGAAGAAACGATTGAAAAATTAAATTAAAACTCATTAAAACATTAAAACTACTCATTAAAACACCGAAGAAAGTAATAGTTTGGGTCTAAAAGATGGAATGAGTGGCACTGTTTTAAATTTTAAAAAAAGACATGTTTCGGCTAGCCGATGGTGATTCAATCACTAACAGCTGAAAATCACGAGCGACTGCGACATATATTTATAAGAAATTTAAAAGAATTTTTTGAAAGCAAGCAAAAAGCAAAAAGTGGAGATCGGAATTGAACCCGAAAGAGAAAGCTCGCTGTGCCAGCGTGCTACTCACTAGGCCATTGGGGCACATTTTACCGAGTGCAAAAGAGGCCTTTTAGCTCCGAGTAGATGCCCAAATTTTAAAAGCGTTTTTGTCGAGAATGTTGCTTTCTTGACAAAGATCTAAATGTGGTATTGGATTCCAGAGGCGGCCATGGTCGAGTGGCTAAGAGGCTTGTATCTTGGTCGAGAGGTCAAGGGTTCAATCCCCGCCGGGTAGATTATTGGTTCTTTTTCTCATATATGGCTTTATATATATGGCTTTTTAAATATATGGCTTTTTAAATATATGGCTTTTTTCCATTCATTGATTATGGCTTTTTCCTATATTTAGGGGTTGTGCTTGTATTGCACTGTACTGTACTGGTATTGTACTGGTATTGTACTGTACTGTACTTGTATTGTACCACATTGTTCATCTCAATAGATGTATTTAAGAGTCATCACAACGAGTAATGTTAATCTTACTTAGGGCTATTGTACCAAGTAATCTACCTGATGCAGTTATTCCATTGTTGTAGCAGTTATTCCATTGTTACCATACCTTGCCCAAGTTGGACACTACTTTTATAGGTTATAGGTATAGGTTATTGATTTTTATAGGTTTGGGAATACAAGTCGAGTCGAGGTCGAGGCCGGGATTCGGACCAGCGACCCATTCGTAGAGCGTTCGCTTACCGGGCGAACACTCTACCAATGAGCTACAGCGAGGCGTGTCACATTGCCGCAAAGGGGCTGTTATGCCCGTACAAAGCCGTACAAATCCGAAGCCCGTACAAATCCGCATTGTACTTTATCATAAGCTAGTCAATTATCATGCTGAAAGTGCATTTTCATCTTCTAAACTGAAAAGATTCATTCACCGACCAGCACCCATTTCAAAAATCGTATCATTATGCGAGATTTTCAAACCGAAAAAACACAGAACTTTATCAAGGCAAGGATCATGGCTGAAAGGGTTATCTAAACAAGTTTTGTATTGTCATGTACAATGTACAATGTACAAGCTGACTGATTTACAAATGTGCCACTGCAAAAACCCATCATTTCTGGTGCGAAATTGCTCATTTTTCTTCCGCCAATGGCTTGCTATGAAGAAATGAGTGCACCAGAAAGATGCGTTTGCAAGTTTCACCTCAAAGTACACCTTAAATAGAGAAAATTTACAAGGAAATCTCTATATTTCATTAGAAAGAAGGATTTTTCTCAAATCACAATCGAAATCAACACGAAGTCAGCACTTTTTAAAATTAAAATCAACTGTTTTCAAAAGCTAAATCTAGATCAGCAAATTTCATTTGTAAAATTAAGTAGTACAGGGTTTTTGAGGAGTAAGTTGTAGACATTGACACTACAAACTACAAGCTAAAAGCTCAAACTACAGACTACAAGCTCCAGCTCAAACTACAAACTACAAACCCTTGTAGAAACTCACAAAATGAAGATTTTTGAAAACTTTTTTTACTAAAAAAATTAGCCAAACTTTAGGCTTTCGAATGACACCAAAATCAAGTTAATTAATCCTTTTTTATTCCAAGAACCAACCATTTATAGCTATTTGTCTAGAAACCTGAAAGAAAACGTTGTATCTCATCACCGAAAACCTAATTTCGCTTGATTTTGGTGTCATTCGAAAGCCTAAAGTTTGCCTAATTTTTTAGTAAAAAAAAGTTCTCAAAAATATCTATTCTGCGCTTTTCTACAAGGGTTTGTAGGTCTGGGCTTGTAGTTTGTAGTGTCAATGTTTAAGTTTTTAGTATTTAAACTCGTGAAAAGCGTCCCAAATGTCGTTTACAGCATGGGCACAAGTGAACCACGTCGAGACACGGCTCCAAACAAAACGGGATACAGCAGAAACACCTGAAAAGAAATTGATTTCATTGTGTCTACCAATTTTGGCTTTAGAACGGCTTTAGAACGGCTTTAGAACAGCTTTAGAACGGCTTTAGAACGGCTTTAGAACTCCTCTAAAACTAACCAGGGGATTCCAAAGAGGAAAAAGCCGAGAATGATGCAAACGGAGAAAATGATCCAAGGCAAGATACCGGCAACGCGTTCAATGTGCGTGATGATGTGAGCCTGAAAGTGAGTCAGTCAGTCAGTTTAGGCATTTTGCTGGTGTTTCAGAGTACGATAGCCAGAATATGTTACACTTTTTATACGCGCCCGCTTCTTTCCCATCGGCTCAACTTTGAGCTCAAATATCTTGGCTTTGGATTGTTCAATTTAAATAGTCTTGGTACCGTGGGATGCGCCAATTCTTTCTCTATCGATTAGTAAAAAAGTATTTAAACTGAACAACCCAAAGCCAAGATATTTGAGCTTAAAGTTAGAGTGCCAATGACAAAGGGAGCGGGGCGACGGACCTTCCATACAAGCAACATATCTTGGCTTTGGATTGTCCAATTAAAACAGCTTTTATACTAATCGATAGAGAAAGACGTGACGTATCCAATGATACCAAAAATGTTTAAACTGAGCAATCCAAAGCCAAGATATTTGAGCTCAAAGTCGAGCCAATGGCAAAGAAGCGCGGCGCCTATCAAATGTCCCACAATCTTTCCCAAATTTCACCAGGCCTGCATTTCTGCCCAAAGAGATCTATTTAAAAGAAAGTCACGTATCAAATCTCCCACAATCAATCTGAAAAAAGTCCTATTTCAGCATGACAATGCACTGCTGAACTGCCACGCTCTATAATCAAGAGTTTTGTCTAAAAACTTCTCGCCTACTCAGCATATACCCCAGATCAGCTTACCATTTATTGGTTCTGATGTGAAAATTTCCTAGAGAACGCTTTGAAGATAGAAAAGATGCCAAAAAATGGGTACAGAACTAGTTTGACTCGAAAACAAAGAATATTTAAGAGAGAGGAATTCGCCTTTTACCAAAAAAAGGATACCTATATAACAATTCATTTACAAAGTCTAACGGAAATCTAACGGGCACAAGCTATCGACAAACACAGAAAATATTTTAATTGATGGCTTTTTTGAATCAATATTTCTATTTGAAATTTGAAATGATTACTTATGGGCTAACCGAATTTGTACTGTACCGGGACGCGGCAAAATATGCCAAAATATGACAATATACCCCTTTTAGAATTGCTTTAGTCATTCAAAATCTTTATTTCTTTTACCTGACAATGTGGACAATCGATTTCGACCGGCATCGCTCCATAGACAGAGGTCCGTGCTTGGAGAAGGATCGGAGCTGCTGGGGCACCGCCTGGGAAATATTATGAAACTAGGAAACTATGAAACTATGAAACTATGAAACTATGAAACTATGAAACTATGAAACTATGAAACTAGGAAACTAGGAAACAAGGAAACAAGGAAACTATGAAACTATGAAACTATGAAACTCAGACTTTCTCTACTAAACTAAGGGCTTAAAGAAGAAGAAGACAGATCCTAGAACTAAAGACAGAACTAAAGACCTTGTTTGAAACATTTCTGATTCGTAAACTGACTGGCCTAGTTTATTCACTGACTGACTCAAAAAGTCAGACCAGATGAGATGAGATGTTCTAAAACCAAGCCAAAAGGCAGGCCAATTCCACCTGGTTAAGCTAGAGACAGAAGTCATAGCTGGATCTGGTTTGGCTTTAGTATAACCTGGCTTTAGTCTAACCTGGCTTTAGCCTAACCTGGCTTTAGCCTAACCTGGCTTTAGCCTAACCTGGCTTTAGTCTAACCTGGCTTTAGCCTAACCTGGCTTTAGCCTAACCTGGCTTTAGCCTAACCTGGCTTTAGTCTGGCCTGATCTAACTGACAGATGCCTTGACTTGTTTAAAACATTCCAGCTCTTCTTCTGGCTACTACTAGCTTTTCACTAGCTAACCGTAAAACTTTGCTTGCTTGCTTTATATCTTGCTTTATATCTTGCTTTATCTTGCTTTATCTTGCTTTACTTTTCAAATGAAACCTACCCAATGGTGGAGGTACAGTGGTGGTGCCCTGGAAGACATAGGGAGCCGGTGGTTGTACAGGGTATCCAGCTGGACCGATCACGGGATTTGCGCGAACCTCATTGGCACGATTCTGTTCCTGTGCCTAGAATGATGAGTTTGTTAATAATATCACCTTCGCGTTAATCTTTCTAGATCTTTCTAGATACTCAGAGACAGATATTTGCAGATAAAAGTAAGGCAAACTACAGGGTGATCGCCAATTATGGCGACACTTTTTGGAAAACTTGCTGACAAACGCCTGACCAATCACTAAAGTGCCAAGTGTTATTTAGAAAAATAAAGCCCTGAATCTTGGCATTATTTATCTATAAAGAAGTTCTCGATTGGAATTATACAACTCATTTTACAAGCTCTTGAATGAGCTCAAGTCAAATTGCCAATTTGCCATTTTTGGCACTTTTTGGCTTATTGAATACTGAATTCTTCATTTCTTCACATAAGAAAATGAAGAATTCGGTGCACCAGAAGGGATGGGTTTACATTTAAGCACAAAAAACAGAACAGAACAGAACACAGAACAGAACACAGAACAGAACACAGAACAGAACAGAACAGAACACTGACCTCTTCATAGCTAGGCGGAGCTGCGTACGCCTCGGCTGCTTTGTTCTCCATGACCTGGAAAAAAAGAATAAAGTATACAAACTTATAACAAGTGAAGATAGAAATCTTATTAATAAAACGTTCCACCGTTTTGTCAAAGCCTCTTTTCCCCCACACCAATAGCCAAAGCACCACCAAACTCCTATCGACGGATGTTTTTGTGGGAAAGGTGTGTCTCTTCCTTTTCCCTTTCAATTCACACAATGTTTCACTTCAAGATCCCTCTTAGACCTTACGTAAGCGTAAAAACCCTATAAATTCTATAAAGCTTTTGTTGTAGTGCGCAACAGTTTCATTAAAAATTGGCTAGCGGGAATTTTTCATTAAAAATTACAATCTACTAGCCAGCCTAAGCTCTGTTTTGTTTGCGCTGTTTTGTTTGCGCTTTCGTGCGTGATTAGAAAAATTGTGTATCTAAAGAAATAGTTTAAAAACACATCATCTTTCATGGCTACAACAGGTACTATTAGAAGATAGCATTTAAATTTCTCCAATTCCCCCAACAAGCCAGCTGTTACAGCTGGCTTTTTTTGAAATTTTTATAGACTTTCCATTTATTTTTCCAATAAGTTTATTTAATATTTATTTCATTAGTATTTAGTTCATTAGTATTTATTTCATTAGTATTTATTTCATTAACATTTAACTAAATATAGTACCGATTTGAGGTTGAAATAAGACTGGCTTGATAACCAAATAGTACCTTTATTGATATACCTTGATATACCTTGAGATACCTTTACATGAAAATTTCCCCGTTCTCTTTGCACTGTTACTTTTTGGTTTTTTGCTCAAAGATTACATTAAAGCTATGTATTTTAACTTTTTCTTTTGACAGTTATTGTATTTTGATCATTTTTCTTTTTCTTTTCTTTCTTTTCTTTCCTTTTATCATTTTTTCAATTCTAGAATGCAGGCCGGCCCGTCATCGTCAAATGGCACACTTCACCAAAACGGACATCAAGAATATAGAAACCGAAAGGTATGGATTTAAAAGTTGTAAACAAATAGATGTAAACAAAATACTTAAATGCTGATTCTATTGCTAAATCTATTGCTGAATCTATTGCTGATTTACGAGATAGTCTAATTATTGAGCTAGCTCGAGATAGTCTAATTATTGAGCTAGCTCGAGGTAGTCTAATGCTTGAGCTAGCTCGAGGTAGTCTAATGATTGAGCTAGCTCGAGATAGTCTAATTATTGAGCTAGCTCGAGATAGTTTAATTATTGAGCTAGCTCGAGATAGTCTAATTATTGAGCTAGCTCGAGGTAGTCTAATTGTTGAGCTAGCTCGAGATAGTCTAATTATTGAGCTAGCTACGTAAAAGTACACGTAAACAACCTAATTCGAATTTCATGAACACCATTTTCTATAAGAATTCGTTTTAGGTTGCTTCGAAATCGAAATCGCCAAGCGAACTTGATCTGGAAATCTTGGTATAAACATTTTTTTGATTTGAGGAGAAAATAATGCGCGTTTTGAATTTAGCATCAGGAATTGAAATTGAAATTCAACCCAACACTCATGATTCACTCATGACTCTTGACTCATCCCTTGCGAGCTTGCAAAAATGTCAGAAATTTTACAATTTTCTGAAATTGAATGTCAGAAAATGTCAGAAGCAGGCTTGCAAACGGAAAAAAAAGTGGAAATTGAATATCTTTTAATTTTCAAAGAAAAATTCAAAAAATCATGCTCAAGTCAAAAAAAGCGGCTATTTTGGCTCCAAAAATCCTCAATTTTTCATTAATGAAATCAGGGATTTGGGTCTAGACTTGCTTATCGATATTATCGAAATGGCATGCTGATGTTTGCCCGTTCAGATCTCAGCTTCTAGAACAGCAGCTGTTCTAGGAAATTGTTTCGGAAAGTTTTGTTTTGGAAAGTCAAGAATATCAGCTTTTGATTGCTATTTTACATAGCGATTTGTAATGAGTAAGCACCTTAAAACCTTTATTGATACTTATCGATATCGAAAGTATCGATAAGCGATAAGATTATCGATATCGATAAGCTTTCGATATTTGAGTATCGATAAGCATTGATAGCTAAGTAAATCGATAATTAAGTAACTTCGATCGATAACTAAGTAACTTTTTAAGGCACTCACCCACGAGAGTTTGCTATGTGTGAGATAGTAATGAAAAGCTGACATTCTTGGCTTTCCAATGAAACACTTTTCAGATTGATAGCTGCTCTAGAAACCAAGATCTGAGCGGTCAAACATGAACTTGCCGTTTGTATCGATGAGATCGATAAGCAAGTGTACTTGCGTCTCTAGAACTTATCTAGAGCTTCTAGAGCCTCTAGAGCCTCATAGAATGCAATAATTGTTACACCTAAAAACGCGCATTATTTTTCCTCAACCTACCGTAAATACTTTAATAGAAGCCCTGTCTATAGTTTACCCTCAAACAAACGCTCATATCTCGACACCAGTACGTCTGTTTTTACGCGCTTAGGTACCAAATTAAAGTAGAGAGAATGAGTGATTTTTTGAGATATAACACATATTTTTAGCATTAACCAGCGCTTAGAAAAAAAATGATGATACCCAAGCGCGCAGAAACAGTGTTGTGTTGAGATTGAGCGTTTGTTTGAGTGTAAACTTAGACTACGCGACGCTCCTATAGGGCTTCTATTAGAGTATTTACTTTTTTTTTTATCTATTAGAGTAATATATTCTAGAGAAACTCTCATTTTCAGCAAGAAAGGGATCAGCTGAGGGTCGAACTGAAAGAGCTACGAGAAATTCATGTAAGTTGAACAAAGTTGTGCTCGAATTTGTAAACGCATTGCTTCTGGTGCACCTAATTCTCTATTTTCTTTTTGAAGCTTGATACGGTGTCAAGAGTTCAGTGCGCTAGCAAGGGATTTGTGCTTAGATTTTTGAGCACAAAGAACAATTTACTTTGTACTACGCTTGTTTATCGGTCAAATTGGTTCAGATAAACTGGACGAAAATATCGTAATCTTTCTTTAATTTGCACTGATTTTAAAGGATAAACAAAGTGTACAATTAGCAAGATTTTCTGATAAACAATCATCAAAATTTTCATTTCCCCAATTTTAGAAAAAGTCTTCCGACGAATTGTTCGACATGAAGATCGGAATGACTGAGTGGATGGTCCTTTTATCGCCATATCGAGAGATCTATGAAGTATGAAATCTCTAAAGTCAACTTAAGGCTTTATTTATCAGTCAACATAAGGCTTTATTTATCAGTAAGCTATTAAAAATAAGATAAAGAGCAGAAATCACGTTTTCACTATCATAAATGATTAGATTCTAGAGCTATCGGGAGATAGCATTTGCTGGTTAGATTCTAGAGCTATCAAAAGTTTCTCAGAGCATTTGCTAGCCAAGTTTTCTTTTTAAAGCTTTTATCAATTAAAGTTAAAGCTATCCAAATTCAAATTAGCTCCAAATTGAAAAACTTAATTCAAATCTTAATTGCAAACCTATAGAAAGCAAAAAAATCCCATCAACACCGTCGTTTTAGGGTCATGGAGTTTATAGGCAATGGATGCCTTATGAAATCAACAAATCACGTGAGTTTTTAATATGAATATGTCAATGAATATGAAATGGCTAATTCATATAAATTTCTCCCGTTTCTGTTTGGTTAGAATGAAAAGTTACCGTAAATACTGTAATAGTACCCCACCCCCATAATGACGGTGCGGAGCGTTGCGTAGTCTAGCTTTGAACGAATGTTTCTCGACACTGGTTTATGCTACAATGCGCGCTCAGGTATCAAAAATAGCCCTGAATTTCAGCTATTTTTTGATACCTAAGCGCGCATTGTAGCATAAATCAATGTCGAGAAAAACTCGTTCAAAGCTAGACTACGCATCACTCCGCACCGTCATTATGGGGGTGGGGTACTGTTACAGTATTTACGGTATAATCTTAAGATTGACAGCTAGCTTAGGCTAATAACAGGCAACTTTTTTATTTGACATGAAATGAAATGGAGAAATGGAGAAACTTAGATCGTTGAGTCAACAACCTTGATGTTCTTTTAAGCCAAAGTTCTATTAGCTCGATATTTTTTTGAATCATTCTATTCAAAGATTTCAGTGAATTTTTATTAATGTTTTTTGAATTTTGATAATTTGAAGCAATAAAGCCTGGGATTTCTTAATGAAATAGCTTTTTATGATCAGCTTTTTATGATTTGAGCCCATGAAAATCATGACTGCTTGAAATAGTTTATTCCAAAGCTGGAATCTTTTGTCAAAAAGCTGATTATTAAGCAAAAAGCTGGTCAAAAAAGCGGATTATTGCATAACTTTTCACTAGCAACAAATCATAAAAGAGTAAAACCCGCAATTCCCACAGTTCAAGTACGGGTAGGCAACATTCCAATCCTAAATTCTATAATACACCTAAACTACCGTACTCGAGACGGCGTCTGCCTTTCCGCCCCTTCCTCCCATTCCTTTAAAATTGATTCTTTTAGAAAATCGGGTACTTGTGGAGTATCCGGGGGGTCTTTCAATATCCGGGGGGGCACATCGGCGCGAAATAAGGCAAAAATGCGTTTTCTATAGGATTTTTCTGGGAGTACCTTTTTTAGATGCGGAAAATTGTGCTGATTCCGAATCTGAAGGAATTTTCCAAATCCCTCTGACAGAAATTTTTTAAATTGAGTTTTAGCAGTTTTTTGGTCATTTTGTATGGGAAATTTTGTGGTACCCTGCAGTTTGGAGCTCGTAACTCGACAACGAGGGTCTAGAACCAAAAACGAAGGAGTAGGTCTTATTCTAGAGATTCTTACGAACATTTTGATGCAAAAATCATAAAATTTGCTCAACTCTACAAAAAGTTATAACATTTTTTAAAGAAGAAATGAGAAAATTTAAAAAATTCTCTATTGCACAATTGTTTTGTTCAAAAGAACAATGTAGCTATGTATCGTATTCACTCAAAACAATTAAGGAATATGCAAAATAATGACTGAAGTGCGCGGGAGAGTCGAACCAACAACCCCGTACTTTTGCGCTGGATTGACGTCGCGCGCCTTAGACCACTCGGCCACGGTTTCCCCTGATGTTTTTAGTGTATTTTGCAAAATTTCTTTAAAGATGTTATAACTTTTTGTAGAGTTGAGCAAATTTTATGATTTTTGCATCAAAATGTTCGTAAGAATCTCTAGAATAAGACCTACTCCTTCGTTTTTGGTTCTAGACCCTCGTTGTCGAGTTACGAGCTCCAAACTGCAGGGTACCACAAAATTTCCCATACAAAATGACCAAAAAACTGCTAAAACTCAATTTAAAAAATTTCTGTCAGAGGGATTTGGAAAATTCCTTCAGATTCGGAATCAGCACAATTTTCCGCATCTAAAAAAGGTACTCCCAGAAAAATCCTATAGAAAACGCATTTTCGCGCCGATGGGGGGGTAAAATTTTAAGATCCGGGGTAAACTTTCAAAAACCAACCAAATGCCCAAAAATGTTTTTCTTGTTAATAGAACTTTCGCATCACGCTCGGAAAGCGCGCTCACCTCAGAATATCGCATTCTGAAAAAAAAACTTTTGATAGTATCCTAGTTGGGGGACCACTTTTTTCTTCGAAACCACATGTGGGTTGGGCATCTGCCGGACCCACATCAACACATAAAATTACCTCAAAAAATGGTTTTGAAGAAAAAAAAGGACCCGCCAACTAGGATATTATCAACATTTCTAATAATGACATAAAAAAATTTTGTAGAAGTTACGTTTTTGATCGAGTATCACCTCGAATTACGTAATTAAGTAATCACCTCAATAAATTGAATATCTTTACATTTGAAGGGAATTTGCCACCAAATCACTTAAACCGGCTGAATATCTTTAAAAGGGGTCGTGTATAACGTATATAAAATTTTACCCCACCGGATCGGGGGTGGGACAAATGCGACCTTCTTTTTGCGCACCCGTTGCCCGGTCCGGCACTTCGCTGTTTCTTTTTCGCGTACATGTTCCTCTTTCTCGATTCCGTTTAAAATTTTGTTTATTGTCAAAATTGGTACTTGTATGGCTTACATGACCCATTTTTTTCTCGAAATCGACCACAAATCACCAAATCGACCCTTCAGAAAGAAATGAAGGTGTATCACACCAAGCTGGCGGATCGATTCGGAAGTGCAACGCTCAGCGTTGTCGAAACTCCAGAAGAATCTACCGTTACGGCTACTATTGGATTGGTGAATTGAAAACTGCGGGCTATTTCGCGGGACTCGCAGATAAAGAAAACAACAGCATAGAACCAGTTGAAAGGGGGATTTGTTTACTTCAACATTTCCTCTAATTATTGCGAAAAAATTATGCTTCCAGCTTTTTATTTTTGGGTATTTTTCTTCACTTCTATTGCACTCGACAATCTGCTACCGGGACATATTCGTCATGTCATGCTTCATGCGTTCCTACAAGAGCACAGTGCAGGCTTGGCAGCTGCTAGTATTAAAAAGATATATGGGGGAGGACTCACCTTCCGAAAGAACGTGTCGAGTATGGTTTGCCAAGTTTCGATCTGGGGACAAATCTTTAAAAGATGCTGAGGGCCGTGAAGCGGCACCCCAACTGGATGATTCCAAATTACTCGAACTCATTACCAACGACCATCGGGTATCATCGCGTGAATTGGGAGAAGAGTTAGGGGTTGATCATGCTACAGTCCTTTATACCTTTATACCCTTGGATTTAAATCGAAACTTGGGGTTTGGGTCCCCATGACCTCAATAACCCCCCAGAAGTGGTAGCGCGCCTCCATCAGTGCCGATCTCTCACAGTACAAAAGGAAATCCTTTCTTCCTCGAATTGTAACAGGAGATGAGAAATGGGTTTTATCAGTGAACTTTCGGAGGAAGTGGCAATGGGTGGGGCCAGGCGAGAAACCCGAAAGTGACCCCAAGCCCGATTTGCGCCAGAAGAAGTTTATGCTCTGCCTTTTCTGGGATATGGAGGGGGTTGCTGGATAGCAAGACGACCCGGTTCTCAGTTCGGCTTCATGCAGCTTGTTCCACGTAGAGATGCTACCGATTATCCAAGCTTTCATTCGATCTAGCTCTACGATCTACAGCGATCTTTGGCACGCGTATACTAGGCATACCACGAATTGCCCAACTCTACCGTCACATGGTAAAAAAATTTTTTGCCAAATGAGCTCATTTTTTGCACCCAAGGGATTTTGACTATGCTGAATCGATTGGTGATGGTTTTGCACAACATTTCGTAACTTTTAACAACATTCAAGGCTCCTATATTTACCTAGGCTTTGACTCCGCACCTTAGCGACACGTGGCTCCTAAGCTATCACCTGGCTCCTAAGCTCCTGATTCTCCCACGGCTGAGGTGAGTTTCGTACCGGAAGTACGTGGCTTCTAGCTGGAACGAAACTCACCTCAGCCGTATGAGGATCAGCCGATAGCCTAGAAGGGTGCAAAAAATGAGCTCATTTGAAGAAAAAAATTTTTGCCCTCCCCCTCACCCTAACTACTAAAGCATCTTGAGTTTTAAAAACGGACATTTTCCCGCTACTAAATTGCCTTAAAAGTAACTTTTTCGTGATCAGCGTCATCAATTATCCCGAGAAAAATGGTTTTGGTGGAAAAGTGCCCCCCCCAAAGCCCATAGTACCAATATCTTTTCTGGTACTTTTCCAATATCGGGGGAGCGGTCCGATTATCGGGGGAGCGAAATGAAAATCAGGGGAGCAAATTTTGTCCCCACGAAAAATGCATTTCCAGGAGCTGAGAGACTGCAACGCTTTTTTAAACTTTAACGACGATGCGCTTCTCCGACATTTGTGCGTTTAAGGAATCGACGGTAATCGATTATTTTGTCACCAAAGGAGTCATCCAGTCGTGGATTTGCAACTGTGACGAATTGATGGAAGTCCGCTCAAAGGGAAAAGATCTATTTCGCTGGGTATTTTAAGTCACTTTTGTGATCTATAAAGGTTTTTAATATAAAGGTTGTGAGAATAACGGGTAATTCACGAATTTTATGGTGGTAATTTGTATAATATAGGACATACAGTGGCGAATAATTAAATAGAACCGATGCTCCATTTGCACAAAGACCACGAATTTTCCATTATTTTCACACCCATTCAAAAAGACATCAACAGCTATTTTTTTTTTGATGTTATCTTAGCTTTCGATTGGCACCACTTTTGATCAAACATAATTTAGTATTTATTTAATAACTCAACAATTAACAAAGGCTATAATGGGGTAGGCTGAAGAAAACCTAAACTACCAAGTTACAGAGAAAGAACTTTCAGCTAAGAGTGGTGCCAATCGAAAGCTAAGATAACATCAAAAAAAATAGCTGTTGATGTCTTTTTGAATGGGTGTGAAAATAATGGAAAATTCGTGGTCTTTGTGCAAATGGAGCATCGGTTCTATTTAATTGTCCGCCACTGTATGTAGCGCTGGCAAAATTTGCTCCCCTGATTTTCATTTCGCTTCCCCGATAATCGGACCGCTCCCCCGATATTGGAAAAGTACCTCTTTTCTTTATAAACGCCAGTCAATCCAACCCAGCCGCGAATCGTCTTGTTATTCCTCTTGTCATTTAGCAAATCATTTAGAATTGATGTTTCTAGGTTAAAAGATTTAGCAGTTTGGGCAAGCTTTCGAGCTGGAATTTGGATGTTTAGACCGTTACCGTTACCGTTACGTTACTAAAAAACTTTTTGGAATCTGGTGATTGGTTGGAGAAACCTGGGAAAATTTAACCACTTCATATGCATTGACCCAAGCCAATAGAAACATTAACCATTTCATATGCATTGACCCAATCCAATAGAAACATTAACCACTTCATATGCATTGATCCAATCCAATAGAAACATTACTTCTTTACTCTAGCCAACATCATATATGATAGTTTGTTTATTCAATGGATAAACTTTCTTTGACCTAAAAAAATTTGAGATTATTTTGAAAACTCTTGCTTTCGTTCTGATTTCTTTCTGATTTCTTCTGAAAACCCCTGATTTCTTTCTGATTTAAAAAAATGTCGAATTTTAGAAGAAGTTCTTGGGCTCGATCGACCAGTCGAAGAGGAAATTGTGAGTTGCAAATTTTCTTTCTATTCAACTTGAGCTCTTTTCTTTTTCTATGATACTAGACCTGTTCTTCATTGCGCACTTTGTGCACAAAAGTGCTAACACACCTTTTCTCGTGCACTGAGATTAGTATAATCAGTTTTGTGTAGACAAAAGCCTAGTTAATATCTATATTTGTTGTTAATAAATGCAAATGTTCAGGCTGCCGAAAACAAGCGCTTCGCCGAATCGCAAGAACGAGGACGGATTCGTCGGATTGCGAGCCGGTGAGAAAATTGTTTTTGTTTTCTAAAATGTGTCAATTTTTGAACACCATCGTAATCTTGTTTTTAGCTTTTATCTAATTTTTTGTCTGGTTTTGTGAGGGTAACGGGGGTGGGACAAATGCTACCTTTTTTTTGCGCACCTGGACATTTGCGCACCTTTTCTTTTTGCTGGAAAAGGCCTTAGGCAAGGCCGTAGAGCTTCGAAAATATTTCCATATAAGGGAATCGTATGCGTAGATTTCGAATTTCGACAAATCAGACCTCACTGACACGTCAAATTTGGGCTAAAAGGCAAAAACTGCGGAAAAGCGTTAAGTTGCGTAGTTTTTGCCTTTTAGCCCAAATTTGACGTGTCAGCGAGGTCTGATTTGTCGAAATTTGGAATCTACGCATACGATTCCCTTCTGTGAAAACATTTTTGAAGCTCTACGGCCTTGCCTAAGGCCTTTTCCAGCAAAAAAAAAAAAACGTCGCATTTGTCCCACCCCCGGGTAACGAAGAATATTGAAAGATACAAAAGTGGATAGACTGGATAAAAGCTGGAGGCAAGATAGTTTTTCGAAATTGAAACGTTTCAGAAATTGTGTACTTAACAAGAGTGCGCTACAGGATGGCCGCAAATTATCGCCTCGCAGTTTTTATGTTATATCTTGGCTGTAGCTTCGCGAACCGATTTAATTCCTTTTTAATATGAAAATTAGGATAATTTTCTATTCAGAATCTCTTTATACAATTTGTAGGATGCTTTTGGGACTTTGATTAAAATCTTGGAAGATGATGCGCTCAGTTAGTTGCAATGATCTTTTTCAAAGTTTCAATTTTTAGCACTAGCAAGTCAATGTGGCTCTGAAAGTCAATTCTTAGAAGTTATCAGAAGTGAACAAATTTCCCCATTGTCGGACAGTTGTCATTATTGAGCTAAAATTCTTTATTGCTCTAAAGTCCCTTTATAGTTTTTTTATAGTTCCTTTATAGTTCCTTTAGTTCCTCTAAAGTCCCTTTATAGTTTCTTTATACGCTCAAAAACAGCCCTTGGCATGCAACATTATTCAAGCTCTTTCTAGTTATTTTCAAACTGAAATCGGTTTCCTCGCTTGTTTTTATAAATTTAAGCTTTAAGAGTAACATTTGGATAATTCTTTAAGTTAACTTTGAGATGAACCAATGAAATTTGTCAGTTTCAAGAAAAATTCATCTTTAGGAGGCTTGTTTCATGTTTGTTGCATTGCATGTTTCATCCAAAGCTCATAAAAAACCACATGGTTGAAGATTTTTGTTGAAAAACATTTGTTTTAAGCTTTTTAACCAGAAAAGATTCAAATAAACCATGGGAGAGCCCTTAAAACCTGTTCATGAAAAGCTGCAGATTGAGTTCCGTGCCACGGGTTGTTTTGAGCGCATCATCTTCCAAGATTTTAATGAAAGTCTCAAAAGCATCCTACAAATTGTATAAAGAAATTCTGAATAGAAAATTATCCTAATTTTCATATTAAAAAGGAATTAAATCGGTTCGCGAAGCTACAGCCAAGATATAACATAAAAACTGCGAGGCGATAATTTGCGGCCATCCTGTAGTTGAGTTCAGAATTGAAATCATGGTTATCATTTCAGAATCATTCGAGAGCCTGAAGCGTGGAAACTTTTCGACTTCGTTGAAAAGAAATCACTGCAAAATGGTTTCCACGAAGAAAATGCTGAAATGCTGGAAGTGGTGAAAGAACAAGAAGCACAAGAAGAAGCACAACCACAAAAGGCTGGAGTCGATCAAGATCGATCAACCAGCATCCAAGAGGAAGAAAAGAAGCCGGAGAAGTTGCTAGAAAGTGATCAATTGCCATTAGTGGAACCGATTGAACCGGCCACTTCAGTCGAAAGCTTGCAAGGGTCGGTCGATGAACAGAAGCCGGCCACATCGATGAATCTATTTGAGGGTAAGTGGTGCAAAAAAGAGAGTTCTGATGATCTTCCTAATCAGTCAACGTACTTTAGCAGAGCTCTAGTACAATTGCTCGTAACTAGCTTTGATTTTCGATCAAGATGATATCGATTAGACGACGTGGCACTAACTTGACCGATCGATAAGACTCTAAGACATGAATTGAAAGCGCTAGTTTATGGCTTACCCCTTCAGCTACCATAATCTAAGTACAGTAGGATTAGTTGAGCCGATTTCAAAGTGTCCGATGACTTCTACTTGGGATTAAACTAGTGTTCAAGGATAGTACTTTACAGGGTGACCCATAAAATGTATTACGCCTTATATGAAGGCAGATTAAGTCAAAAATGTGTCCGATTACTTAAAGAAGTTTGTTATAATTTCATCTTTATAACATTTTTACACTTATACTCCAATTTTTAGCCCGATATGGAGGTTATAAGAAAAATCAGGGCCATTAGGCCTTACGGAGCTTCTAATGCCCCTAATTTTTCTTATAACCTCCCTATCGGGCTAAAAATTAGAATATAAGTGTAAAAATGTTATAAAAATGAAATGAGAACAAAAATTAAGGAATCTGACACATTTTTGACTTAATCAGCCTTCATATAAGGCGTAACACATTTTATGGGCCACCCTGTACTATTCCTTATCGATATGACTAGTAACGCTAGATATTGGCACCTAAAAATAGGCTAAAATAGACAAGTAGACAATTATAACAGCTTTGACAGTACAATATTTTCCTTTAGCCTATTCACAAGTCTTCCTCGCCTCCACCGAGCACACCAAACGAATGATTGAAGCCAGAAGAAGGTTTTAAACTTAACTCTTGTAAATATTATCTCATTCTAGCTTATCTCAATTGCCAAAGAGTGACTATCAGCTACCAGAGAATTGGTAAGTGAAATCTCAATTTTTTTAAACCCAAACTTTTTAGTAATGAAGACGGGCCGCTGGTTGTGAGATTCGTCGCCGAGTTGAACGTCACGGTCGTGATGAGAAAGTTCAAAAAGGTTTGTTGAGTGTCTGGAAAATAACGGTACTTGATCAAAATTTGTACTGTAATTTGTAAAAGGGTTGTAAATTTACAGCCCATTGCTCATTATAGTATGCTGCAACGAAAAGGCCGAAAAGTCGTCTTCCGAATTTCCTATTCCAGCATACTGTAGTCAGAAAGTGCCTAAGATTACAGTAGTTCTAAAATTTGTAAGCAAAGTGTAGTGATAAGATGCAAAAACATTTAAAATGCTCAAAAATGTATACCTCTCATTTAGCCGATCCGAACGAGCCGACAACCAAAACCCCGGAAATACGCGACAAGAAGCTCACCGAGAAAACAGGTAAAAACCTAATGAAGATTTACTTCTAATTCTAAAATTTCAATGAAAATATTCAAATATTTTACAAATTCAGACCGTCCAAGTGAAAGTGGAGGAAGAAGCCGCGAAATCGTCAACAAATGAGGAACCGGAGAGGCCGATTGAGAATGTGGAAGCGCTGAAGGTAGTTTCAAAGCAATCCAATGGTTTTAGAAATAATGAAGCCATAAATCTGACCCAGCAACGACTAAATGAGCCATCAAAAAAAATAATTTTATTCCAAATTTCAGTCCAAGAATCCTCGCGGGACGAAGCGGGCAGCCACGAACAGAAGAAGCTCTTCGAATGGTCCCAGCACTTCGCCCAAGCGTCCAAAAGAGGAACCATGTGAGACTCCGAAGGTTGGTTTTAAGATCTGCAAGGATTTTGTCTTCCGATCAAGCTCAACTCACATCGTTTCAAATAACGTACCTAAAAACGTATTCATAGGAATGGTAATACATTAATTAAATTCTGATTTACAATTTTTTCGTCTTCTTTCCTGTCTCTAACTTTCTCTCTTTCAGAAGACCTATTCTGAGGAAATTCAGAAAATCATCGCCGACGCAAAGGAAATGTCAAACATGGGAAAGAGAACTTCAGCGAGGAGAAAATCGACTGCCAATAAAACACTAGAATTCTCGTGCTAGACTCATGTGTAAATATTTTTATTTATGATCTCAGGTGAAATGTTGTATTTGTCGGTTTATCACATAAATATGGGATTTTATTTACCGGTAAAAATCGCAAAACAACACTTGGTAAAATCAAAAATAACACAAGTAATGATGCTTATTCGTCGGGAGAATTGCCTTCACCGCCCTCATCGTCGCTCTCCCGCTCAGCCGAATTTTCGTTAAGAATGACGTACTCTCGAGAAGAGAATCCAAATTTAAGCACATCTCTTTCTTTTAGCTCATAATATCTAAAAAAGACAATATTGTTATTAATGAAAAAGTGCTTGACCTTTGAGGATCAACCTTGTCTCCATTCAAGAACGTTCCATTGCCACTTGAGAGATCGATGACGTATGGTCGAACAGCGCGTCCTTTTGTTCCATCAGGCCGAGTAAATGGCACACTCCTAAATAAAATTTCCTCATACAGATATCAAAACGTTGATCCTGTCAACTTCAAAAGCTTTAAAAACTACATTAATACCCAGAAAACACAACGTTTAAGACACTACAAGTTTTTCTCCAGAAGTTTTTCTAAATAGGATCAAATACCTGTATTGTATGACGGCGTGTTGCTTACTGCATGATGGATGATCAACCGCTAAATCAGCTACGACACGATCACGTCCAATCAGGTAAGCCGATTGACGATGAATGTAGAGAGTTGGCAGTGATTCATCTCCTTTGAATGGATAGAGACGCCATCTAAATATTGGTAAAATTAACAAAAGGCATCTTTTTTCATACCTTGTCTTAGGAATTTTTGCTTCTGGTGGCTCGTTGTATTTGATGACGACTCCTCGAAATGTGTTCGTGTCTTCGGCAAGCTTTCCGGAGAGTCCCATATTGACTTTTTGCTAAAATAGGTAAAAAATAGCTAAAATACAAAAAACCAAATTGCCTAGCAATACCTTTTCTTCTGGCGGAATTTCTTCTTCTTTTGGTTTCTCCCAATGTTCTGGTTTACCCCAAACCTCCCTAGATACAATCATTTAAATAAACCTCAAATTAAAACGCACTTTTTCTTTGACGCGTCTCCACTCAATTTTGACTCTAAATTTAAAATTTGAACAATAAAGCAACAACAATAAAGTTTACTTTCATTATTGCCATCATCACGATTCACTTCCTCTTTCACTTGCGGCTTTCGGCTTGATCTAAATGGGTTGAAGTTAAATTGACAAGATTTGCATCCTTACCCATCTCTATCTCTATTGTCATCGCGTCTACGTTCTTCTCTATCGTTGCGGTGGCTTCTAAAATTAAAAAACTTTAAACGCTCTAACTTTAAACTCATTACCTTGACGCTTGCCGCAAAGAGCCTTCCCCACGACGATCAGGGCTACGGGAGCGAGATCGTTGCCTCCTAAATAAAAAATATTGATCGATAACAAACGATTAGATACTTTGGTTATTAAAGGGCCACCTATATTTTTGAGATTTTCACTTTTTCCGGGGTAATCGACCACGCTGAGCACGAATTGCGCATAGCTGGGGAGTAATGACGCATCGGATCACAAGTTTAACTATTCCTATGTTACCCTTATTATCCGCAAAGCACTTCCACTTTCATAAAGTCTAGGAAAATCTAGCAAATGTCGTTTTAATAGGCAACTAACCTCCTGTCCGGACTGCGATTTCGGCGAGATGCTGGTGAGTCGTTCCTCTTACTAAAACAGCAGCTATTATTGTAATGCTCAAAAACTTGCTCAATTGAACAAACTAACCATTAAAACGTTCTAACGTTATCGCTTCTTGAATCTTAAAGTAACTGCTAAAATTAAACCAAAACGTTTGGCTTTGATAATTTTCAAGATATTTTCTTGTTTCGCCCTTCTTCTAGCTTCAAAAACAAAAGATAACAACTCACCGATGTGGTGGGCTTTCTCGTTGTCGCTTAGGTGACGGTGATGAGCGGGGGCTCCTCGGTTCGTCTTTCACTTCTCGGCGCTTCTTCTCATCTCGTCGAGACATTTCTTCGTGCCGACCCATCTAAAAAATCCAAATTAGCGAAGTTTGGTAATAAAATTGGCAGAAACATGACCAAAAACGAGCAAATTAGGCGAATACGATACATCTCTTAAATATATTAGAGCCTTAAAGTGTAAGTAAGACTTACTAAATTCTTAAAACAACAATCAGAGCTGACCAAACATCAGTTTGACAAACGCTAAATAAGGGCGTGGGACAAATGCTACCTTTTTTTTGCGCACCTGTTTTTCCGCACCTTGCCCATTAGCGCACCTTTTTTCGCGTTTTAAAAAAGCTCTAAAAAGCCAATTTCTAATTAACCAATTTCTATTCCAAAAGTTGTTTTTTTAGGTAATTTTAGGGCGTAGAATCGAAATTTTGACATAACAGAGCGTGTGGAACCAATTTGAAAGACAAAACGGCTAGATCAAATTACAGAAAATTGTCGATTTTTCTCTTTGTATAACTCCGTCCGTTTGTTTCCACAACCTCTGATATGCCAAAATTTCGATTCTACGCCCTAAAATTACCTAGAAAAACAACTTTTGAAATAGAAATTGGTTAATATTAGCTTTTAGAGCTTTTTTTAAAACGCGAAAAAAGGTGCGCTAATGGGCAAGGTGCGGAAAAAAAGGTCGCATTTGTCCCACTCCCCTAAATAAAAAGTTCACATCAATTTCTTGTTTTATAGCCTTAATTGATGTAAACAAACTTCTGTCTTTAAACGGAATATCTTAAAATAATAAAAGCGAAGGGGATTATGGCTTCTTTTTGAAATTTTCTCGCGACTACGTGACAATACAATTCCTTTTCGTTTTTCTCTTTCCCTGACAATTGGCATCCACTCAACATTGTTGATTCGTAACAATTGCTTTTCTCTCTGTCAGCCGCCTCTCATCTGGCCATGAAATTGCTATTCACATCTAGAGTTTCAAATTTTCAACGACCTTTCTTGTTTAGAAGTGTGTGTTTATGTTGATTACTTGTTTACATAGCTTTTTCAGAATTCTCGACGGCAGATGGAGTCGAGCTGGCCTTTGCGAAATATGGTGACCACGAGAAGAACCGAAAGCATAATCCGTTGTTGATTTGTCACGGTTTGTGCGCTTTTCCCCCTGACGTTTCTATTATTGTTTTTAGGTTTGTTTGGACAGAAAACGAATTGGAACTCGGTTGCGAAAGCTGTGCAAAAAAGGCTCGATAATGTGGTGTATGCTGTTGACTTGAGGTACGTTTTGTGGCGTTTATGTGATGTATCTGAGTATTAGTAATGTTACTGGATGCGGATTTTTAATCCTACCCAGTTTAAACAAAATTCGAATCGTTAATGGTTAGAATTCAGTAAAATTTCATTAGCCAGCATTCAACTAAGACCTTAATAATAAAAACAAATAGGCATTCAAATAAAAAAAACCAAATTGTTACTTACAGAAACCATGGGGATTCGCCACATTGTTCTTCTATGTCATACACCGAACAGGCCACCGATCTTTATCTTCTAATCCAAAAAGTAAGCACATATTTTTTTGCATGCAAGCGTTTATATCTATTTTAGATTTGTGCAGAAGGCTCGTTCAAAAAAGCCGACTTGCTTGGACATAGCATGGGAGGAAAAGTAGCAATGCGCTTTGCCATTGGTATAATTGCCAATTAATTAAAGCTGACAGATAGATTTTAGATCCTCATGGTTCTTCCTTGATCGACAAGTTAATAATTGAAGATATCAGCCCAAAAGGATATTCTGTCAGCTCACATACATTCAGGTGTTCTTTTACAATCAATCAATGTATTTCGTTTTTAGATATTATGTGGAAGCTATGCGGAAGGCTGATCTTTCGCTTTCGAGGCAAGAGATATCAAAAGGATTAGAGCATGATGTATGAAACATTTATGTTTATTATAGTAAACGTATATTTTAGATTCCTGAGTTGGCTATTAGGCAGTTTCTTCTAACAAACCTTCGACCTCGTCAAGATGGAACTTTTGAGTGGAAGGTGGATGGTTTTGTCAGTATTTATTACAAAGGATTCTTTTAGATGAATCTTACATCGATCGGGAGACATTTTGAAGACATTTTGGGTTGCTCATTGCCGGTTGGAACTTTTCGAGGACCTACGTTGTTTATCTATGGGGATAAGAGTGGATATGTGCCAGATGAAGATCGACCCTTAATACGAAATTTGTTTCCACAGGTATCCACAGTTTTGAATGTTTTGATCTATTTCGTGTTTATTTTTACAGTGATACATAAAAATTTAGGTTGAATTTTCGTCGGTGAAGAACGCCGGTCACTGGGTGCACTCCGAGCAACCACAAACGTTTATTGATGAAATTTGTCGCTTCATAGAAAAGAAATAATCTTCATTATTGTCTTGTCTTGATTACGGGTAATAGATGTTATTTACAACTGCTTTAGAATAAATCTATTTTTGTGACAATTTGTCTCTTGTTTTGGTTTGCTACCAATACTCTATCTATTGTGCTTTTTGTTTGCAAATTTACGTGTCCACTTTTTGCAAAAGAGTAGTCTTTTAGGAATGTCGGACAGAAAGCTGCTTTCTGAGCTGAAAGTCTCCGAATTGAAGGTGTGTGATTGCAATAATGTATCGTGTAAAAATGAAGTTCCACCTTTCTAACTACGCTTTATTCAATAATTATTACATTTAGGCGGAACTCGAGAAGCGTGGATTGGACAAAAATGGAATCAAATTAATTCTCACAGATCGATTGGAGCAGGTGAGCCATAAATTGTAGTGAAGCCGCGTAATTACTAGTTAGTGTCCTTGAAAATTGGCACTTGCTAAATTTTGATTTTTGAGAGTTAAAAACCTCACTCCACCTACCCCCGGAATTCGGGTGAAAGCGTATTGTGTGTGATGTAAGAAAGTAGTTTCATCGCCTGGTTGGGGGACCTGAATTAGGTTTAAGTTAAACGTTCTGCAATCAGATGGTCGTATAGCGCATCTTATTTTTTTTTTATGAAAGCTTGTCAAAGATATTTTTGAATTTGGAAGAATTGGCTAGTTTGTATTCGTTTACACTCTCATGATTGATAAACATGTGATGTGGGAACATTTAGTTTCTGCCTTATTAGACTACAGTCTAATAAGGCAGAAAGAGTCTACAGTCTGCATTTGATAATTTTTATTGATCAAACCTGTGGTGCAAAGGTCGACGCACCAACCATTCGAAAGCCTTTCAATGCCAAAGTATCAAAAGCTCTAAATTGACTCTAGTCTTTTTTGAACGCGTGAATTTTTCCAGCATTGATTGCCCTATTCAGCGGTATCGTTATTTCAATGCAGTTTGATTGGGGACTAGTTTCTTTGATTTTCCCAAAACAAAGGCTAGTTTTCGCAAAATATTTTAAATTCTGCGAAATTCAAATCTTTTGGAAATCTAACCCTTTAATAGCTCTTTTCCTCCTTTCTCGCCTCTTTTCCGCGGCACCGGGATCTGCTCTTTGTTTTTTCGCGGACACTTCGATTATTCTTCAGGATGAAGGGCCACTTGGGAATAGGCGTTCTTTCGAACAACTTTTGCGCATTTTATTAAGTGAGCCGATACGATGGGGTTGAATTGCTTATGGAAACGATTAGAAGTACCTCTCGAGTTGTGAGTGCTTGAGAAAGAAACGCGACGTGTATTTGTCATCTGCAGCATCACCATCACGAGCTTCATTTAACTGCTCTTCAAAAACATCCCGACAAATTGCCACTCGTCCACAAACGACAATACGAACAACCTGAATAGTTTAGACTGAGATTTAGAATTTTGATACCTTTCGGAAAGTGACTTCTGGATTTAGTCGCCCAATTGAAAGTGCTGCTTGACAAGATAGGGTAATCGTGTGTGGGCTTGCATCCATCGAGGCCATTTTGTCGAGTCCCAAACGGCGTAGTTCAAATCTCCAAGAAAAAATGCTTTCTTAAGAATTCATAAACGCACCTCAACGTTTGCCAATCATCAAAGTTATCGGGTACAATAAGTCTTGGCTCCGTTCTTCTCAATGCATTCAAAATGAGAAGAATGATGTCTTTGTCGGATTTATCCAAATAATTTGGGTCAACAAGACGTGGTGCCTAAATTCTTTTTCGAAATCTGGCTTTGTTCAGTGGCCATTGACATGATTTTTTCATAGGGTCGGCTCGGGTAAAGGATTGAATTTGAGATTCCTCAAGGACCAAGTAGTAAAACAAATTCAGCGCTATTTTTGACTTTAAATTCAAAAGTTTGATCAGTTATTGTTATAGGTTATGAATATAAAAATACTAAAAGTAATTACAATTATCTCGGGCAAATTAAGGCAAAATGAAGGATTTAAAAAGGAAAAAGTTAAAAAGAATTTTACCTTTGTAATGGTATCCGGTGTGGTTACAAGCTCTCCATTAGCACAATGCAGTTGGATGAGCTGGGCGTTCATCGCGTGTATGCGACCAGATGCGAGGCCCCAGGCCACGCCCCGACCTCCTCCAAAGCGGGAAGAGATTTTTCTCCGCGGCGGTCCCTGCTCCCCAGTGGCCGAAGCCGAAGAGTGCCGGCGCCCAGTGACATAGCTTGCCGATGCTAGAAGAAATGCAAAGAGATCTTCGGGGGTTTTTGGGGAAGTGGGGGAAGGAGCGTGTGCCCGAGTTAATACCCTGTCTTATCGTTCTCCTCGATTGAGGCGCTTTCGGCGGCGATGTGGGGCAATTGTCAGAAATACTCCCCATATGACACACGTGACTCGCCGAGCCACCCATCTAATAAAATATATAACTTTTGCTACATAATGAATTTGTTTTTTCTTATATGAGCCAAATGCCCAGCAGAACAAAGGCTTTGTAGAAAAATTTTTCTGAAACAGAATCAGCAAAAATAGGCAATTAGCGTTTTATTTTCTGGTTGCAATGAAGAAAAAAATTTGAAACTATATCTTTCATTGATTTTCTAATACAAATACGAAAAAAGAAAAATTATCAGCTGTGGGAAAACGTTTGTGAGGGCTAATGTATGTGCGTGGGCCGTGGTTGAGTTGTTAGTCTGGCGATCTCACGGAAAATCGAATTCTCTCGCCATAATAATTACCACTCTTTGGAGCCCACAGCGGCCGGTGTTAAACGAATACAAATTGGCATCGGCGGGAAAATTAGATGAAAGAATTTTTTTTTGTGAAATGAAGTTGTTGTATAATTGTTTTTTAGGCCATCCGTGGTGAGGGCTCTGATCCAATGACGTATCATTTTGAGCTGAATGCAAAAGGAGAAGAAGGTGAATAAATTTATAAAAAATGTTCACTGAAGAATTTAGGTGAACTAGACACCTCAACCATGTCAACAGATGCTGCAAATTGGCAAAAAGAAGAACAGGTATTATTTTAAAGGCTTTGTTAGTTAACCCTTTTTAATTTAGGTCACTACAAAACCTACTGAAGGACCCATTTCAAGTGAAAATTCTGAACAAAATAAACCCGTAAGTTTTAGCTGAGTTGCACCCAACAAATGTTATTTAGGTTGAGACGGAAGAGAAAATGGTTACATTGGCTGAGACTTTGAACGAAGAAATTTTCGATTCTGTTGATCAAGAAGTATCAAAGGGAGACGAGTTTTTGATTCCAGAAAACGAGCATTTGGAAATGGATCAATCGACGGTGAGAAAAATTTAGACGCTGTTAATCTAAAGTTTTATGTTTAGGAAGAAATCCCGGAATTGAATGATGCTGTCAGCAAAGAAAACACGAACATTGATGAGGAGTTGAAAGAAGGCATAAGTGATGACAAGATGTCGATGAATCAAACTGTGAAGTCGATTTCCGACGGAGAAAAGCATCTAAACGAAGAAAAATCTTCTGCAACTGAAACGAACAAAGAAAAAAGCGACGAAGCAAAAGATGCGGACGAAAGTGCTGCCCGATCGTTTTGGGTTCGCAATCTGCCGGGAGGAACAAAAGCCGCAGAACTGAAAGTAACGATTTCGATGATGCTTTTAAACTGCCGACATCATAACCAAATTCGTAAATGCTGGGCACCGTTACGCTAAATTTGTTGATGTTGATGATGAATTCCTTTTGAGAAGTTTTAAAAGACCTTTAAGCGAATTAAGTCAAATTGAACCAAAAATGGATCAGACGGGTTTTTTTTCCAACTAATCTTGTTCTTCAGGCTCTATTTTCTACAATCGGAAAGGTCGAGCGCGCAAAAATATTCACTTCAAAGAAGGTCGTCAACAACGCGAACGCTTTTGGATTCGTGACAATGACTGAGAAGAACGACCTTGAATTGGCGATTGAGACACTGAATCGAAAGGAATTCAAGGGTCGCGTTCTCACTCTCGAAAGGGTACGCTCTTCTTTCTTTTCACCAAGCAGCCGATCGGAAACCGACTAACTTTTTGTTTATATGCATACTTAAGGATTTTCCTATTTGATTTTGAAAATCTGGTAATTTTTTAATCTTAGGCGGATAAAAGTCGACTTCCAACGGCGAAGGCAAATGCTCCAACTTCGACGTCGATCTCACCGAGCACCGACCCCAAGGGAAAGAAGAGGGCTGGAGATGAGAAACGCCAAATTGTGTCAAGCAACCCAGAGGCGAATAAGTCTCGAGAGAGGACTACAAGGGAGAAACATGAGATCAGAGGAAATGGGTCACGTCATAAAGAACCTGAGCGACGACGAACTGAAATCCGAAGCTTGCCACATCGCCCAAGAGTTTTTGCTGATCGGGATCGCGCTTTCAATGATCGACGCCGCCATGTTGCACCAGCCACAAATTCTCGGGGTCGGTTCTTTGGTAAATGCTCAGCTTCTTCATGTGTTATCCTACTGAATCCTACAACATGGCAACCATAAACCTTGGAAAGAAGAAAGAAAAGAAATTACCGGCTTTTCTCACTAAGCCTTTCTCAGCATTAGTTGTTTTTGGATGCGGCTTTTTTAAAATGTTTTACTTTTAAAATTCTAAGTTAGGAGGGACCTAGGTAACCTTTCTGACTTTAGATCGTCCACTATTGCGAGGTTATGCACCACAAGGCCATCGAGGCAATCGACCGACTCGAGGATTCCGAGGAGGTTTTGGTCGCGCCGTTTCTTCACGTGCGATTTCGCAACGAGTGTCATATCCTGAGAGAGAATCGGCTAATACTTCATCAAGGGTTTGTTTTTCTATCAGAGTTTGAGTCAGACAGATAGTTTTAAGCAATTAATTTTAGCTGCTAACAAGGTTTACGTTTTTAAATGTGGAATAGAGAAAAATAGAGAAAAGATGTGGAAAGTAAACATTAAATCGACGTTAATTTTAGTTCGGCTCTCGTCAATCATCATCGAGTTTGCGAGCGAATGATGGCATTTCGTCTCGACAACTAGAGGAATTGCTTCGTCTCAAAGAGCAAGAAAGTGAACGGAAAGTACGCGAGATGCAGCTCACAATGGAGCGGGAACGGATTCGCTACGAGAAGGAGAAACTCGAAAGAAAGCGTCTTCAGCTGCAATTAATGGCATCACAAACTGGCAGTAGCTACGGTGGAGGCATTGCGCCATCAGAATCTTCAAGGTATAATTTCCAAAGCCATCAAAATATTGTTAATGATCAGAAATTAAAAATGCCTCAATTAATTAACGTTTTTAGTTCTAGATCATCGCGAGATCACCGCGGAACTGTTTCCAGGATTTCAAAAGATCGACATTCAGCAGGAGGGTTAGTGAATGGATGTAATTAAAAATTTATTTTGTTTGTAGAAACTCTCGCGATTCGGGACGCCATTCTACTCGCAATGACTCTCATAGTCGAGAATCTTCACGTCATCACGTCTCTTCTCGACATGAACGCGCGGAACCAAGGTAGTTTTTAGATAAAAAGTAATTAAAGAATATGATTTATATTGTGCAAATTAAAAGTTGAAAGGACTGCATCACGAGTTATTACTTTCGTTTACGCTTTTTTTTGTTTAGATCGCGCCCTGAAACATCGCGTGATCGTCGCGATTCCCATCATTCTGATCGACGCGATGCACCAAGTTTGTTTCTCTGAGCGCTAAGAAATTCAAATTTCAATTTTAGGGTATGGGAGCACTTCTTATACACACTCTTCTGGCGGTGGACGCGTTTATGAATCCCTCTCAAGGATCTTCTCGCGATTATCATGGAGCTGGTGTTTCGAGCACGGGTTACTCAACAGCAACGTTGCCAGCCATCAGTGGTTATCGTAAGCATCTCAAAATGTCATAAAGTTTTGTTGTTTTAGCTGCCCGTAACATCTCTCTTCCAACCTTTGATACATCTGGATTTACTGCCGGGGCGACCAGGTGAAATGCTTCTGTCGGTTAAAAGTAAAAATATGGATTACTGATTGGGATACTATAAAAAATGATGAAGAATCTATTGTCATTGTCGACAATTTATTCATTTTAGTGGTTTTGCTTGGCCCACGCTTTCCAATCCAACGATTCAATCGCGAACAACTTTCAAGAACTCTGGTGAGTGGCTTTTCAGAATTTCCAGTGTTCAGTTAGTTTAGATTACACATTTGCTGGCTCATCGGACTTGTCTGGAGGACGTCATTACGATTACACCCGCCGTTATTGATCATTTGATGATTTCAATTTTGCGTGATTTGTGTAAAAGACTTGTCCTATTCGCTGCAGATCTCTTTCAACTAGCAATGCAGTCGGCTCCGTTTCAGTAATATGTTTGTTTTTAAATGTCCGTAATGTTTAAATTATTGCAAATGTATGTCATTTTATCTGATTTTATTAAATATTTTGGTTTAAATCGCAAATAATCAACGCACAGTAAAGGAAAACAATAAAACAAAAAGTCTAGACAAAGAAAGAGATAAATATAAAGATCTTTAAGAAGAGTTCAGTCAAAATACAAATAGATCATACCATTGACAACATAACAACAATTGAAATCAATACATACCCGGTTCACCCTTAAGAAGAGGATTGTGTACGGAACCTGAGGTCCCCACTGATCCCATATTGCCAACTGAGGGGATTTGCCCCACAGAACCAATGTTATCCACCGAACCCGGGCCCATCATCGAATTGGGCATTGGTACAGAGCTTGGCATTCCTAGAAAAATAGTAGTTTATAATTGTGACTATACTGGTGTCCCAAAAAAAGCCAGTTCAGCGCGATTTTTCTCAGAATTTCTAGTGGTTGGTGGTGCCAAAGCGAATATTTATTGATTAGCAGCTCACGAGTAGAACATGGCTGCCTCTTTGAACATTGCGAGTTAAAAGAGTTCTATATACAAGAGATTACTGGATTTTCTAAAACGATAAAGTATTGGGTCATAAATCTTAGTTTACATGTTATCTCTAATCTGACACCATGATGCCACTAGAAAGTTTCAATTACAGCAAAAATCTCATAGTGATGGCCCATACGGTGGTGGTAACCATGGTGGCTCAGAAATTTCATGTATTGGTTATTGGTGGTCATGAGATCGGAACAAAGGAAAAAAATATCAAAACCCGTCCAAAATATTCACGTCGGCACCACAACCACCACCACTAGCAACCACCACCAGCCACTAGAAATTCTGAGAAAAATCGCGCTAAAGTTACTTTTTTTTGGAACACCGTGTACGTGTATAATGTAGCTCTTTCATGTAATCTTTTGCTTATCACATATTACATTTTGATTTCACTTTGCCAACAACTTACTGTTCAGCTCGGGTCTTTGAAGTAGCTGCGAAACGACCTCCCAAAGCGGGCACTCGTTGCTCTGCCTGGCCATCTCGTTTGCCGCCGCAAATATATTTGTTAGAATCTAATTTTGTGAAACTTTTTTGAACAACTATGCTTTCCTCACCTCTTTCTCGTCGGACACCCCTTGATTAACTTGTTCGACTTGATTTCTAAACGCAAAAATGGATAAATTGCTCGATATAAACAAACGTTTGGACATTGTATTGTAACCACATCATATGTCTTCGCATTTTGTCCGATTCATCGGGTGAAAGTGGGCAAAAATTCACCTAAAGGCTCACAGTGGCCTAGCTAAATGTTTTGCAGATAAACTCACATGAATTCTCATAGTCTGATTTCGATCCAACAACACTCCGGGGCGGAACTTTCGAGCACTCATCGTTGACTGGGACCCGTGAGCGCCACCACCTTGGTCGGGTTTCCGTTGAAGCATTGTCGGCATAATAGACATGTTCCAATAGATGTTGGTCAAAGGATCCTAAAATAAATTTTATGTAAGCAAAGTCACTTCATTTAGGTAGTTAAGATCACTGACAGAAACTAAATTACTAATTGGGCTCCCAAAAGCCTTAATGCTTTATCAAATTTATTCACTAAGGGATTCTCTTACGATGCTTTCTTGAGAATTTAAGTTAATACCTCATCATATCCATACAACTGCCCTCTCATAATCTTTATGATTGAGAAAAGCGCTCCATTCGGTGTCATTCGGCACAAATTTATAAAAGCCACCAAAGCGTATTCGTTGTTAAACCTGAAACAAAAGATCAAACGCATTTTATAAAAAAGTTACCTGGAGATGTAATAGTCAAAATACGACTCGATGATAGAAATTTGCTCAGCTTTTGGTCCACTGTCGCCCAAGCCATCTATAAAATTGAAATTATAAAAACCAAGATCAAATTTACCATATTCAACGGAGCATTTAACTGTAAACGTGTTCGGACAAACAAAGAATTGGAAATTGACAATGCATGGGTAGTTCTGTCCATATGCACTTTGCGTTCTGATCGACAAGACGGAGGCTCGTATCTGAAATGAAAGGTTCATTTACATTGAAAAAGGCATAGTCGTCAGTTAGCATCTATCATCTATCTTCTTATAAAAATTTTAACATTATATCCACCCACCGAATCCGGCTGCACGTCAAGCTTTTCAAAGTGAACCGGTTGTTGTGGTAAGGGTAGAGAGTAGATCTAAAAAGATGTTGAACGAGGAAAGAACAACAACATAAACCTCTTTGAAAGCGGCACCCGTTCGATACACGAATTCAATGGCCGATAGATAGGAGTCCAAAGGAGACAAGTTGTTGGCAACTAAAAAAAAGCAATATAATCTTCCGTTTATGTGTAATCTAAACTAGACGAATGCAATCTACTGCCCAGAATAATTAAGCCATGATTAACAATGATAAGCGTCAAACAATTTCAACTCACATTCAGCGTTATTTTCTTTGGTTGGCACGAGTGGTCGTCGCAGAGCACTTTCGGGTGGTTGACAAGCCTTGTGCAACGTGACATGATCGACGAGGATGATATTTGGAGTAAGAGTAAGGCCCGATCCCGAAGTGGTGAATGAGGTGCCTTGCGAATGTGGAGATTGGTTGGTTGAGGATGGAGGCACGGATAATGATTGAGTGGATGAAGGAGGCGGTGAAGCGGCGGCTACGTGCTAAATTTAAAAGATTAGAAGCAGTTGAAGATAAGCGAATTATTGATGTTCAAGCGTAGCAGACTAGATTTAGACTTGACAAAGTTCTTATATTTAGATTCGTTTCTTTTTTCCCTAAAATCTTACTTGTGATGGCAGACTGGTTGGTGCATGTGGAGACGCATGAGAAACATTCGAATTCGTACACAATTGAGCGCTTCCCCTAAAAAGTATTTTATTTAATTGATTCAAAATGTTTTTGTTTTAGATGCAAAAGATTTTCATCGTGAAAAACTTGCCCAGATATCCACTTCCAAAATTGCTCTAACCCCACAACGGCCGGTTGGAATCGTGAACAATCTCTGATTCCGACCTGATCAGCTTTTTTTTAAAACAAATAGGCTTAAAACAATCCACCTGTGAATCCTGCAAAAATCGAAACTCAAGGAAAATATGGCCATATTGAAGTCGCATCGTATAATCATCAATCGCGAACAGGTAATACTAAAAAGCCACAGGTTAAACTCCACAAAAAGAATCCTTGCCTTCATCTGGAGTGGGAACGCCATATCATGATTGAGTATTTGCGCGAGAGCCTAAAATTTTCGCATATATATAATAGAAAGCAAGATTTGACCTTGACAGATTGGAATCGTATTCTCAAAAATTTCGACAAAGCGCATAGTGGAGCCGAGGTTGAGACGACATACTCAACCAGTTCGACGAGATCCGGATTTGCGTTAAACCTGAAACGGCAAATTTTAGTAGACTGGCTAAACTGAAAGTCAACGTAAGCAATTGGACAGTTAAACGCAAAAAAAAGTACTTTTCATTAATTATGGGACTTAGTTGCGTATGGGGATTCCAGCGTCCCTCTTCTGGCCATTGAAAATCGTCTTCCGTATACGCATCAGTGGGCACCGTTTGGTTGAAAGTGATGCAGAATCGTTTTGGCTCACTGCTCTAAACCAAAGCAATACAATACGCCTAATTACATGTATACTTGAAACATACTTTAAGATTTGGCCTGAACGAAATGACCATCAATTGATCTCTTTTCTCTCCATATGCGATGATGAGTTTGTGGTAGGTATACGCTTGAATCTAAACAAATCAATTTAAAAACTTACAAAATGAAAACCCAAACCGAGCAAACGTTTTTGTAGACTTTCTTGTAAACGGGAGCAAATTCGTGAACAAGTTTGTAAATGTTCACGAAGATTTGTAAACGCTCCACAATAGCCGTCGATACTAAAAGAGGATAAAGTTGAAATAATTTTTAACTGGTTAAAACTGCTAAAAATAGAGTAAAGTTTGTGTAGCCACTAATATCTATATTGAATGTTCAGAAAGCTGATCGCAGCTTAGAATTCTTGGAATAAACTTTGTAACAAATCTCATCGAAACTTACACGAGTCGCTGGGGTTTATTCCGGGTGGTCCGCTTGAGCTGCTCAAGCTCACATCAAGCACACAAGCACGCGTCTAAATTGAGTGTTTTTAACGTGAAATAACTTATCGTCACTTTTCTATTCAACTAAAGATCTATTTCTTAGCTACATTTGGTCCCGGTTTCCCGGGCAAGCAATCCAATGGTAGGGGGTTGTTCTTGATGCAACACTCGAACGGCCATCCAATCCTCGTTCGAGAATCCAATCGTAAGCAGCAACGCACCTAAATTTGTGGCTGTTCAAAATTGCCCCAATCCAACAAACCAAGTTATCGAAAAATTCAGGTGCCTCAGTGTCCACTGCGGCTTGCACACTAAATTACAGAATTACATTTGTAGAACATTTTAAACTCACTTCTTTAACCGCAAAACGAGTCCACCAACAACAGGCTCGGTTTCCAATGGATCGTACTGGATATTGCGTCGATCAAGCTCCTCACATAACTAAATAAAAGCTAAAATAGAAAAAACAAAGTCTATCTTACTTTCATGAACGATATTCTATCATCAACAGCTGCAATTGCACACGTCAATCGTCGGCCATAATGATCACCCTTTCGTAATTCCTAAAAAACGGCTTTATTAATTTGCTCAGTTAAATTTCTTAAGTTCATTCTTACTTCATCTTTGTTTGCGTATAAGAAACGAGTCATCGGTGCCACCAATCCTGGATGATCCTAAACAAGAAATTTTTAAGCAAAAACCATCAATCACTTACTCGACTTAAATGTAGCAGTGTCAATTGATCGTCATTTACACTCAACA